CAGCCTTCGGCTTCTCCTCCTTGCAGCCTGCTCCCCCTCAGCTGCCCTCTCCAGCTGAACCCCGATCTGCACCCTGTGGCTCTCTTGCCTTCTCTGGGGACCGAGCACTGGCCCTGGTTCCAGGAACTCCAACCAGAACCAGACATGATGAGTACCTGGAAGTGACCAAGGCACCCAGCCTGGATTCCTCACTACCCCAACTTCCATCACCCAGCTCTCCTGGGGCCCCTCTCCTCTCCAATCTGCCACGACCTGCCTCACCTGCCCTGTCTGAAGGGTCCTCTTCTGAGGCCACCACACCTGTAATTTCAAGTGTGGCCGAACGCTTCCCTCCTGGCTTATTGCCTTCTGAACAAGGCGCTGGAGAATTGGGCCCAGGACTGGAGCCTGCTCCCCACAGCCTCTGGGACCTCGCTCCCCGGAGCCCAGCACCCTTACCCTCACTGGACTTGGCTCCAGCTCCAGCTCCAGCTCCAAGCCTGCCTGGAGACATGGATGATGGTATGCTGCCCTGCCGCCTGGAGTGCTCAGGGGAATTCACCAAGAAGCCAAGCCCCTTCCAGAGCCCCTCTGGAGATCAGGCAGCCAATGGCCTAGCAGAAGCCAGTCCCAATCCACCAGGGCTTGCCACGGCCAAGGCTGAAAAAGAAGAGGTCGAGGCCTGTCCTGCTTGGGAACGAGGGTCCTGGCCTGAGGGAGCTGAGAGGAGCTCCCGGCCAGACACACTTCTTTCCTCTGAGCAGCTACGCCCTGGGAAGAGCCCCGGGGCCCCACCCTGCAGTCTTTCTCCTGAAGTTGAAGCTGGACCGCAGGGATGTACTTCAGAGCCCCGCCCCCACTGTGGGGAGCTTTCTCCCTCATTCCTGAACCCACCTCTGCCCCCATTCACAGATGACAGTGACCTTTCAACTGAAGAAGCTCGGCTGGTAGGAAAAGGGGGGCGGCGCCGGGCAGGGAGGCCAGGGGCCACAGGGGGCCCCTGCCCTGTGGTTGATGAGACACCTCCCACATCAGCCAGCGACTCAGGCTCCTCACAGTCAGATTCTGATGTCCCTCCAGAAACTGAGGAGTGTCCGTCCATCACAGCCGAGGCAGCCCTCGACTCAGATGAAGACGGAGACTTCTTGCCTGTGGACAAAGCTGGGGGAGTTAGTGGCACTCACCACCCCAGGCCTGGCCATGACCCACCCCCAGTACCCCAGCCAGACCCCCGCCCATCCCCTCCCCGACCGGATGTTTGCATGGCTGACCCTGAGGGGCTCAGCTCAGAGTCCGGGAGAGTCGAGAGACTACGAGAAAAGGAGAAGGTGCAGGGGCGACTAGGGCGCAGGGCCCCAACCCGGGCCAAGCCAGCATCTCCTGCACGGCGTCTGGATATTCGGGGAAAACGGTCACCTACCCCTGGAAAAGGGCCTTCAGACCGAACATCTCGGACCCTACCCCGACCACGCAGCACTCCCAGCCAGGTCACCCCAGCAGAAGAAAAGGATGGCCACAGTCCCATGTCCAAAGGCTTGGTCAACGGACTCAGGGCAGGATCCAGTGAGTAGGGCAGGAGAGTAGGAATAGGAATACTGTGGGTTGGAGGAGGTGTGGGCTAGTTAAAGGCTCCAGTGTGGGGATGTGGCCAGGTAGTCTTTTCTTTTTTTTCGGTTTTTCGAGACAGGGTTTCTCTGTGGCTTTGGAGGCTGTCCTGGAACTAGCTCTTGTAGACCAGGCTGGCCTCGAACTCACAGAGATCCGCCTGCCTCTGCCTCCCTAGTGCTGGGATTAAAGGCATGCGCCACTAACGCCCGGCCCCAGGTAGTCTTTTTGCTTTGTGTTTGTTTTTCGAGACAGGGTTTGTGTTGTCCTGGAACTTACTTTGTAGACCAGGCTGGCCTTGAACTCACAGAGATCCACTGCCTCTGCCTCCTGAGCTCTGGGATTAAAGGTGTGCAGCACTGTTGCTGAACTCTTTTTAAACAATGCATTCTGCTTGTCTCTACAGCAGCCTTGGGCTCCAAGGGTGGTTCTGGCCCTCCTGTGTATGTGGATCTTGCCTATATCCCAAATCACTGCAGCGGCAAGACTGCCGATCTGGACTTCTTCCGCCGAGTGCGTGCATCCTACTATGTGGTCAGTGGGAATGACCCTGCCAATGGCGAGCCAAGCAGGGCTGTGCTGGATGCCCTGCTGGAAGGCAAGGCCCAGTGGGGGGAGAACCTTCAGGTAAGTAGCAAGAGATACAAAGGACGGAGTCTGGTCAAAGCTCTATCAGAGGCATCCATAGGACAGCCCCATTCACAAAAGGACAAGGCCCGCCCTTTGGCAGCAGGTTCATGTCTGAGACCTTCATTTGTCTCTCCTTCACAGTCTCACCTGGGCATGTCTTCTTCCTCTCAGGTGACTCTGATCCCAACTCACGACACGGAGGTGACTCGTGAGTGGTACCAGCAGACACATGAACAACAGCAGCAGCTGAACGTCTTGGTCCTGGCTAGCAGCAGCACCGTGGTGATGCAGGACGAGTCCTTTCCAGCCTGCAAGATTGAGTTCTGAGTAGACCCACCCTCCCTTCCCCAAGGATCCACTCCAGCTCATTTAGAGAATGTCCACTGCTGAGTCCTGTGGGGTTGAGGGAAATGGAGCTGGGTAGGGGGCGAGGTCATGTGTGAGGATGTGGGCTACGTGGGAGGTGCTGTCCTTCCCCTCATCTGTTCCTGGGGCTTCAAAACCAAAGGTAATAGGGGGTTACAAAATTATGAAAATTCACCGATGCCTGAAACCCTCTCCCAGCACTGCCAAATGTTGGTCTTGGATGAGGAGGGTGGGTTTCAGAGAACACACTCCTCCGTCTTAGAAGGAGATCAACACCCCCCCCCACCTCGTTATTTATTTGGCATGCCAGAAAGGATTGCCAATAATTTATGTGATGTAGGGAAGGCCACTGTTAGTAAGGTACCCAGAGCTGTGCCCTTTCCTCCATCTCCATGCCCTAGCCACCAGGGTCTGGGTTTCCAGCAGGGACCCGAGGGCAGGTGGCTGCTATACTGTCTTATTGCTTCTTGCAATATCTGAATGTCTCAATCCAAAACTTGAAGCTCTTTAGACCAAGAACAAGGGAGAGGAAAACGGATCTCATCTCCCAGCCCCAGCTTCATGCCATTTATGACCTAGGGCTGTGCCCAGACCAGGCCCCCTGGGCAGTGCAAAGGGCAAGAAGAGTCCCAACCCCAGTTCCTCCAAGCTCCCTGATCATTTAGTCTTCACCTGCCCATTCCAACAGTCCGGACGGATCCCTTCTCATCCCCTGCTTGGCTTCTCTGCATGTGGTCATCTGCTATGGCCTGGTGTGTTATGGGTTAAAAATAAGCCACTGCCTGACACCCTTACATCTGACATTCTAGCCGTGTGACTACCCCAACATTCCAATCCTCTACCATCCTGCAGCCGAAATGGGAATGCTGGCTGCCTCTCTAAACCCAAACTCTTAGACAGAGGTTCCGGAAGGTGGAGGCTGGTCTAGAGAACTTGGGGAAAACGGGAAAGGAGGGGAAAGAAGAGAGGAAGCAGAGCTATAGCTTAACTCCTCCAGAGAGAGGTGAAGACAGGCTGAGCCTTCCACTACAGGACAAGACCTCGACCCAAGCAAACCAGTCAGCAGCCCTGCGACACCCTGCTGGACTGAGAAACCCAGATGCTGGTAGTCCCCGAGGCTTGCTTTCTTGGCCCAGTCAACGGGAAGTCAATAGGAGCCTGTCCCATGCTCTTCCTAGCTCCCTTCTCCCGAGGCTGTGCTCTGCTCCTCCCCACACTTCCCTGCTACAGTTCCCAGCTGCTGTAACAGAGCACCTTCAAGTCTAACAATAAATCAAGTTCATTGCAGATGGTGTAGTGCTGCTTAGACTTTTCCAGACTCCATACGTAACTCAGTTGTCCTGGTCTCCATCTCTGCTTCAGTCAACATTATCATCTATCTGGGAAGACTCCTGATTAGTCACACCCGTTTCAGGACTTCGGGGAGCCAGAGAACACATGGGTGACAGGAGGAAGAGATGTGGGAACCATTACATTTCTGCAAAGAAGCAGGGTGTGATGGAATATGCCTGTGATCTTAGCACTCAGGGTAGAAGTAGGAGAATCAGGAGCTGGAGGGAAGCCTCAGCTATATAGTGAGTCAGCCCTTGTCTCAAAAACAAAACACCAAAAATCCAAGGGGCCGGAGAGGTGTCTCAGTGGTTAGAACACTGGCTCTTCTTCCAGAGGACTGAAGCCTATCCTCGCACCCACATGGCAGCTCACAATTCTCAAAAACTCCAGTTCCAGTGACTCCTATGCCAGTTCTGGCCTCTGTGGACACCAGGCATGCATGCAACCAAAACACCCATACACATAAAGCAAAAATAAATAAAAATTTTTTAAAAAGCACACAAAATAATCTGAAAATGGTTTTAAAATGTGAGTATATACATTTGTTTAGGGAATGGGATCTGCATTCTATGGGGTGGAAAGCAGTCACTGTATTCCCCAGAAAACTCTGAGCCTTTTCATTTACTGTCCAATAGGTAAAAGCTAGATTTACCCCCCACCCCAGCAAAATCCTCTATAGTTTTAGATATGTACTGAGTGGTCAGGTTATAAATGGATATATAGAAAAGAGACATTCTAGTCCTTCCAGTGTCCTGAGCTTTCCCAATGTAAAGATGTTAGTGGAACAGAGGCCAGGTATCACCTCTGCATGTTGACTCCCCCCCTCCAAGACATGTTTCTCGGGAGCTAGTGAGAAGGCAGATGGCCTCTTCTGCTTCACAGAGCTCCGATCTCTAATCCCACTGCCCAACATTCTTCTCAATGAAGACATTTGGGACAATAGACTGACCACTACAGGGAGATGCCAGACTTGTATGTTTTTAAAGCCAATCCCTGCTCAACTACAATAGTTTTTTTACAGATTCAATCACAGACACAATTGACTTCCATATTCACTATTGAATTCACAAAGGCAACACCCATCAGCATTCTCATTATTTCATATTTATTGAGCACTCGTCATGTTCCGGCCCCTGACTCCAATGACTGCATTACCCACACCCACTCCCATCCCTAGGTCTTTGGGAAAAAGCTTCATAATCACATATGGTCCTAAAGACATGATATAAGGACAAACCTCTTGGGGACCCTGGAGTGTTTGATCTTTGGCCAGTCTGTCCCTGGCAAACTACAGAAATATATATGTTTATATATATATATATTAAATCTTTGCTCATGTCTGTACATTGATCTCTGCTAATTGCTTAAAATAGAACTTGATTCTCTCTGTATACTATAACATCTTCTAAGCCCAATGGCCTCACAACAACCGGAGACCTAGCTTCATAGACTGATCCAAATCTCCAAAGCGAAGTAGTCACTTTGAAGTTGCATGGCAATCTAATATCTATTTTTCTCTTTAGTCACTGTCCAGAGGAGCAGGACTAGGGCAGAGGGAGCACTTGGCAATTATACGGAAACACCCATAAGCCCAGTCTAAACCATGAGTGGCCACGACAGATGTTTGGGAGAAGGGAACTCTATTTTGCAGACATCTGAGGTGGCTATCCTGGGCCTGACTGTGATAGTGAAGACAAGAGCTTCCTTGAATGCACATATGGTCTGATGGTACCTTAAGAAGTTGTGAATATTTCCTTCAACAAGCAGAAACCCTGCTGCCTTCCATTTTATATTTGCTATTCTCTCAATGGTATCTACAATAGTTAAGTAGCATTTCATTGAACAATCTACAATTTCCCACCCCATGGCTAAGTGAAGAGCTAATAGCTGCTCTGCACATAAATTAGCTCTTCCTTAGGCATAAGCTCTGGCCAAAGCATGTTTCCTGTCAGAAGGCCTACTTCCTCAGATACCCCTGGTGTGAGCCTAGGCCTTGCTCTGGCTAGTGTATTAGCCAACAGAAAGGCTACTGGTTCAAATGGCTGGTAGAATGTGACACCAATGAGAAAGCAACTAATTATACATTGCTGGTGGGAGGGAAAAGTGCTGGCCATGGGCCAGAGACTGGCTTTCAGTGTTTACATCACTAGACAGACACTGGCCTTGGGGGATATCATCACTAGGCAGCTCATCAACCACCTCAGGGACCACCCTGGAGTCCTGATCAATCTCCTCAGAGACCTCCTGAGCCTGAAGACCAGTCTCCTCAGTGAGCTCTTGAGATGGATCATCAGCCTCAAGGATGCCTTGAGACAACTCGATGATAGCAGGGACCTCCTGAGCCAGCATGCCAACCTCCACAGAGAACTCTTGGAATGGTGGGCCCATCCCTTCAGGGATCTCTTGGGTTGGCCTGCCAATTTCTATAAAGGTTTCTTGGACCATACTATCAATGTTTACAGGGAATCCATGGGCCATCCTGCCCAGCTCCACAGGGACCTCCTGGCACAGCTGATTATTCTCCTCAGGGTTGTCTTGACAAAGTTGGTAAACTTCCCGAGACAGTTGGCTAGCCTTCTGGCATGGCTGACAAGTATTGGTAGCAGTGTCAAGGTTCTTCAGGAACAGCTGGCTGATGTCAGGAACTTCCTGGTTATGCTGGCCGACCTCCTCAAGGATGTCATGGCATGTCTGGGTGGTATCTGGGACTTCCTGGCATGTCTGGCTGACCTCAGCGACACCCTGACCTAGAGGGCTGATTTCCACAGATGGCTCTTGAGGGGACTGGTTTGACTCAATAAGCTCTTGCTGTCTTTCTATAGGGAACTCTTGCGTTCCATCTCCAGGAGTCTCCTGGAGCAACCCAAGGCCTTGGTTTTCTTCAGTCACATGTGTATCTACAGAGGACTGATCACTGAAGCCAAAATGTGAATTTCCATCCACCGTCGTAGGAGAGGAAGGGCCAGCACTGGACACGGTGCTGGAAGGGCCACTGCTGTCTAGAAAGCAAAGTTAGGAGGTCAAGTCAAACGAGCTGGAGGAGGAGGCTCTGCCCGTATGTGTGCATCAAATGCTAGAATACATCTGCTTTGCTGCTCATGGTTAGAAAGAAGGTCTAACTTCTTCCCAAGTGTGGCAGACATATAAGCTTGTTGGGTTCAGGAGCTATCACACTAGCCTAATGGAGACTATAAGAATGATGCCAAGGCTCATCTAAGAGTCAGGAGAATAAGGCTTACTTCATCTAGTTACTCACAAATACTCTCTGACCCAAACTCCTGCTTCATACTTTGGATGTATGTAAACACTCTGTCCTAATGGTTCACAATTACTGTTACACATCAAAAGTGTGGGGGCACTTAAATACTGATTATCAGGTTCCATCTCCAGAGTTTCTAATCTATAGGTATAGTGTAAAGATTATGGATAGGAAGAAGGGCAGAAGATGAGGAGAATATTATTCTGTTAAAATAGTCCCAGTTGAGGGGACTATGGGTGTGTGGTTCAGTGGTAGTGCCAACCTATTATGCACACGGCCCTGGGTTCAATATGCTGCACTGCACATATTGGAAAGGCGGTGCTACCTATAGTCTCAGCACCTGGTAGGTAGGAGGATCAGAAGCTCAAGGTCATTCTCAGCTATACATAGCAAGTCAAAGCGTAGCAGAGCTCTGTAATTACTGACCCCAGAACTGAAATGCAAAGCTCCACTTCACTCTCCCATGGAGGGCTTGTGTGGGCTCAGTCACTCCTGCAGGCAGGGTGATAAGGAGAGGGTCTGTTCCTCACTGGTGCCTGAGTACCACTGGTGTCTCCCTCGAGCCCTAAGAACTCCTTACAGTCCACCACTTATATTGTTCCCAAGAACAGTGACAGGCTAAAGATGACAGAGACAGAGGGTGTGTGTGGGAGCAGACACCAAGGTCACTGGAGCAGCAGGATCCAGGTGCTCTTTGGTTTTGTGCTTTGAGACTGAGTCTTGCTCCACGTAGCCCCTTTCTGGCCTCAAACCTTCAGTGACCTTCAGCCTCTGCCTCCATTAGCTAGAGTTACAGCATGTGTCAAGCCTGCTTGTGACTTGTGTTTCTTGCTCTTGGCTTTTCTATGTATGACTATATATTTAAGCTGTCGTCTAGTGGACATCAGCAAGGAGCTTAATATATAACTCAAGGTGGCCTAAAACTCACAATACTATCTCTGCCTTCTCAATGAACCACAGTACCCAGTCATTCATAGTCTTTTCTTCTTCTTTTTTTATTATTTGTAATTGTGCAAACACGCGTGCGTGCACATGTGTGTGCGCGTGCATAAGTGCACACACATACACGCACACTCAAGCACACACAAATCTGCAAGTGTCTGTAGAAGCCAGAAGTGTCAGATTCCATTGGAGCTGAAGTTACAGGCAGTTGTGAGCCACATGATGTAGGTGCTGGGAATCAAACTTGTGTCCTCTGGGAGAACACTATTTGCTTGTAACTGCTAAAGCTACTGAGCCACCTCTCCAGTCCCATTCCTAGTCCTTTAGCCCTCAGCTTCCTAGCTCCCATGGGTTAGATCTCTTATCTACCAACCCCTCCATCCCTCTTGGTTTTTGATTAAGCAACTAAAAAAGGTTGACTTACACCAAGGTGGCTTTTCCGAGCGATGTCGAAGTTGCAAGGGTGGCGAATGAAGAGCACGGGGTGGGGAAAATGGGCTATCTGAGGCCTGGTTGCTATGCATAGAGTCAAAGAGGGCTGTGTGGAGGAGGGGAGAAACATGAATAAGAGGCTCGTGACAAAGAATCCAGGCATCAAAGGCTGTCAACCTAAGTCAAGGTCACTTTACACTCCCTCTGGCTGAGAAGAAACATACCCTTGAAGCCTTGACTCAAACCCTTGGCATGTTTTTGATTATTTTCAAACATACAGTTATTCATTTGCTTGTATACAAAATAATCGGTTTAGTTATGACATTTTCATTTGCATTATTAAACTCTCTTCACATTTATCTGCTCCCCCATTACCATCCTGTTCCTGTCTCTCAGAATCCCACTCTCCAACAAAAAGTCACCCTTCTGCATTCCTGTCACAAACACATTGACATTTTTCTATTCTACATGAAAGAAAATATGATATCAAATCTATTTTCTAAGAAGTAGATGATGGCTCAGAGGATTAAGGCACCTGCTGCCAGGAGTGATGACCAGAGTTTGATCCTCAGGACCCACACGTGAAAGAAAGGAAAGAACTGATTCCTACAAGCTGTCCTCTGCCTGCTACAGGTGCATCATTGGGCCTCATGCCACAAATAGATACACGTAAAAACAAATTTTTGAAGTTGCTTTACAAATGAAAACTCGATTCTCTCTTGCTGCTTTCAAATTTTTCTGTCTTCTACAAGATGTGGTGGCAAATGCCTTTATGGGAGGCAGAGACAGAAGGATCTCTGTGAGTTCCAGAACAGTCAGGACTATACAGAGAGTCCCCATCTCCAAACAAACATTTTCTGTCTGTCTTCTGACAGTCTGAATACTCAGTATGGATCACTTTGCACATATCCTATAGGAACTAGTTGAACTATTTGGAAATAAAAATTCAGGTTTTTTATTAAATTTGAAAAGGTTTTTCTATTACTTTTCTAAGTATGTTTTATTCCCCCTTGTCTTTTCCTTTGAGACTAATCTGCTTGCTGTGCCTCTCTGGAATCAGAAACCATGGGCCCACGTGGAGAGCACAGGCTGTCATCTTTAAAATTACCACCAGGGGCTGAAAAGATGGCTCAGCAATTATGAGCTCTTGCTGCTCTTCCAGATGACACAAGGTCTATTCCTAGCTCACAACCACTGTACCTCCAGCTCCAGCGGATCTGATGCATATACCCCCCCAACCCATATATAAGTGAAACAACAACAAAAAACAAACCACAACCAAACTAGGGAGTGGAGGGTGAGCAAGAACAACAAAAGAGCTGCAACCCTTTTCATCCATTTCAGGTTACGATTCAATTTTTTAAAATTAATAATTAATCAGTTCTGTATGTGCTGCAAGGGACCCACATGCTAAACACGGGCTTTACCACTTAGCTACAGCCCAGTCTCCAGGCCACCTCTTACTTAATGTAGCACTTCCCTGCTGCCCATGAGCCTTTGAATATTTTCTGGAGTACTGAGAAAAGTTAATTCTAACAGTTTTTTCTCTGTGTGTGTGCGTGTGTTTGTGTGTGTGCACGTGTGCAAATAAGTATGTATGTTTGTGTGTATGCACGCATGTGGAGGTCAGAGGTTGGTGTTTTGCCTGCTTGTATCTCTGTGCACCATGCACATGCCTAGTGCCTCAAGACTTTCCTGGAATTGGAGTTACAGACAGTTGTGAGCTTCCATGTGGGTGCTGAAAATCAAACCCAGGTCCTCTGAAAGAGCAGCCAGTGTCCTTAACTGCTGAGGTATTCGTGTGCGTATGTGTGTGCACATGTGTGCATACATAACCCAAAGCATATGGGTGAAGGCCAGGAAACAACTTAGGGGAGCTGGTTCTCTCACATCATGTAGGTCCCAGGGATCAAATTCACATCATCAGGCATGACAGCAAGTACCTTTACCTGTTAAGCCATCTCATCAGCCTCAAAAATATATTGTTAAGAGTCATTTCTATGTCTCTGTGATTACTTAACTATGTTTTTTTCTTTTTTCTCACAAACTATTATTTACTTTCTTACACTTAAGTTTCATGGAAAAATAACAGCTAAGAAGTTCTGTCCTTTTGCCATCAATATCAATTATGTGGCTGATGCATAGTAGGAAGAGTGACATCTTAGGGCCAAGACCCATGCTATGGTCCAGCTCCAACAAGAATACGACACCAGCCAGCACCAGCCTTCCGACATGTGTATGTGTGTGTGTGTGTGTGTGTGTGTGTGTGTGTGTGTATTGTGCATGTATGTGTGTATGTGTGCATGTATGTATGTATGTATATATGTATGTATGTATGTGCATGTATGTATTATGAAGCTAGCAAACTAAGGAAATTAGCTGCTGGGTAGATTTTTTTTTGTTGTTTTGTTTGTTTTTTAAGGTTTTAAAATGAAGCCCAGATGATCTTGAAAACCATCCCCTTGACCTATTCTCCATTAAAAAGTTATATAGAACACATTCTTCCACTGCAATGGCTGCAACTATTTCCTCATAAAGCTCACTGTGTAGCTGCAAGAGGCTCTTCTGCCTCAAGATGTAAACAAAGGGGAGACATTAGTGCCTTCTGCAGAATATTCTGTCTATAAACTGCTGCTGGATGGGAAACACAGAATGAAAGAAGGAGGAGGGAAAGAGGGATAATTCAATTCTCACACTAAGCTTTATAAGCAGGTTTTTTTGTTTTCAGTGAAGAGCTGGGAAAAGATGAATTTGCTGTTTTATTTCAAGAAGCAGAAAGTGGGGGTTGGCGAGATGGTTCAGTGGGTAAAGGAACTTTCTGCCAAGCCTGACAATCGGAGTTTGATCTCTACAACCCACATGGTGGAACGAAAGAACCAACCAAGGTCAAGTTATCCTTTAACCTTGACATGAGTACCATAGCACACATACCTTCCTCCAACTCATAAAATAAGTAATAAAAATATCAGATGGTATGTGCTCTCAAAGCTCTATCTCTCCAGGATCACATGGTCTCTCTTAAAATGCAGGCTGTTTTCAATGGCAAATTCATTGATTCAAATTGAACCACGTGGCAGCCATGAGTCCAACTGGATCATGAACTTCAATACACTGCAAGTTAACTGCTTGTAAAGAGAAATGCTTCACGAGCAGCAGCGATGAAGTGAGGAGAGATGAGTCAGGATCTGTGTTCCTTAGTTTCCTGTCAACTTGACAGAGCTATGGCCATCTGGGAAGAGGGAACCTTAACCGAGGAAATGTCTCCGTCAGATGGGCCTGTAGGAAAGTTTGTGGGGCCTTTTCTTGATTAATGACTGATGTGGGGAGGGCTCAACTCACATTGGTAGCACCACCTCAGGGCAGGAGTCCTAGGAGGTACAAGGGTGTCTAAGGGATGGAGAGACAGAGGGTTCAGGGGATAAGACCACCTGTTGCTCTTACAGAGGCCTTGGATTCTGTTCTCAGCATCCATGTGGTGACTCACACCATCTATGACTCCAGTTCCAGAGGTCTGACCCTCTTTTCTGACCTCTACAGGCACCAGGCACACATAAGGTACACCTACAGACAAGCAGGCAAGCATTTCTTTTTTTTTTTTTTTGCAGGCAAGCATTTCTAATATACAAATCTAAATAAATAACAGAAAGGTAGCTGAATGTAAACCCAGAGAACAAGCCAATAATCAGCATCCTCCATGGTCTCTGCTTTGTTCCTGCTTCCAAGTTCCAGCCTTACCTTCTGCCCTGATCCCTTACTGAAATAGAAAGCAATCTAGGGTAGGATTATGTCACAGCTTACACAGGAAAACAGATGGAGGCCTCCAATATGATCAAGAAAATTCTGCCTATTTTGCTAGCTGAAGATTTTATTTTATGGCCGGGCGTTGGTGGCGCACGCCTTTAATCCCAGCACTCGGGAGGCAGAGGCAGGCATATCTTTGTGAGTTCGAGACCAGCCTGGTCTATAAGAGCTAGTTCCAGGACAGCCTCCAAAGCCACAGAGAAACCCTGTCTCGAAAAACCAAAAAAAAAAAAAAAAAAAAAAAAAGATTTTATTTTATGTGCATTGGTGTTTTGTCTGCATTCAAGTCTGTGTGAGGGTGTTCCCTGGAATTATAGTTACAGATAGTTATGAGCTGTCAGGTGGGTGCTGGGAATTGAACCTAGGTCCTCTGGAAGAACAGCCAGTGCCCTTACTGTCCTATTCCTCCAACCATCACTCTAGCCCCAATACCTGAAGTTCTAAAAGCCAAGTGACCATGCAATTTCTACTGCTGACAGCCATGTATTCTTCAGCTTGGGTCAATGTCCCTTGGCTTCATATTTAGTTCCTAGCCATCCATGTATATGTGTGAGTACATGTATATACATGCTTTTATGTATGTATGTATGTATGTATGTATGTATGTATGTGTGAGTATATGCATATACATGTTTTATGTATGTATATGTGTATGTATGTGTGTGCATGTATGTATGTGTGTGTGCATGTATGTATATGTGTATGTATGTATGTGTGTGAGTATATGTATATACATGATTTTACATATGTATGTGTGCATGTGTGTGTATGTATGTATGTGTGCATGCATGTATGTGTGTGTGAATGTATGTATGAATGTGTGTGTGTGCATGTATGTATGTGTGTGTGCATGTTGAGGCCAGAAGACAACCTTGGGTGTCCTTCTGTGGGTACCGTTAGCTCCTCCACTTTTTTTTTCTTTTTAAAACAGTTTCCTTCACTGGCTTGGAACTAGCCAAGTAGGTTTAATGACACAAGGACATGTGTATATCTGTCTACCTTGTGCTGGGTCTGTAGCTACGCCACCAGCACCCAGCATATTCTTAAGATTATTATTTTTTTAATTAAAAAATATGTCACTAGGCAGTAGTAGAGTATACTTTAAATCCCAGCACTCAGGAGGCAGTGGTGGTGGATCTCTGAGTTCAAGGCCACCCTGGTCTACAGAATGAGTGTAGGACCGCCAGATCTACACAGAGAAACCCTGTCTTGGAAAAAAAAAGTATGTGTATGTGTACCTTCTAATCTATATGTTCATCATGTGCATGAAATAGTCTGGGGAGGCCAGAAGGGGAGCCCATGGAACAGGAGTTATAGGAAGTTGTGAGATACTTGATGTGGGTGCTGGGAACTGAACCTGGGTCTTGTGCAAGAGCAGCAACTGCTCTTAACCACTAAGCCATTTCTCCAGCCCCTTATTTTATTTATTTATTATTATTATTATTATTTTGGTTTGGGTTTTTTTTTTGAGCCAGGGTTTCTCTGTGTAGCTTTGGAGCCTGTCCTGGAACTTGTTCTGTAGACCAGGCTGGCCTTGAACTCAGAGAGATCTGCCTGCTTCTGACTCCCAAGTTCTGGTATTAAAGGCGTGTGCCACCAGGCTGGCTCAGTGTTTTAAACTATGGGTTGCTCTGGGGATCAAACTTAGGTCCTTGTCCTTACTACACAAGCACTTTACTCATTGACATATCCTCCCAACTCTCTCTTGCTCTCTCTCTCTCTCTCTCTCTCTCTCTCTCTCTCTCTCTCTCTCTCTCTCTCTCTCTCTCTCTCATTTCCGGTGCTAAGGAAAGATCATAGGGCTTTGGGTTTGCTAAGTAAGTGCTCTATCACTTGAGTTAAATTCCCAACTTCCTAACTTTTAAGTTTATTTTACTTTGTCTTTATGTATGTGCACGTGTGTATGTGCATCTGTGTTTATATGTGCAGATGTGTTTCAGTGCCCATGGAGGCCGGAGTGCATGTCAGATTGCCTGGAGTTGGAGCTACAGGTGGCTAAGAATCACCTGATATGGTTGCTGCAAAGAGAGCTCTGGTCCTTTGCCAGAGCAGCAAGTGCCCTTACCTGCTGAACCACCACCACCCCATTTTAAATTCACTATTTCCTCATATTCTACTAATTATGAGTATGGAGGTAAGGTTAGAGACACAAACAGTACTTCCCCTACCTGCAGATGCCTGTGCATGGGCATCAGTGTGGCGCTGGCAGACTTTAGTCAAGAATTCACTCACTTGACGCAAGGAAAGGGCATTATGTAGTGTTTCCAAGGGGTAGATGGTAGGTACCATGGAGCACCCTTCAAATCCTGTTGGAAAAAGAGATGAACAAAGTCAATGTTATTCCCACCAGGTGTACTCCAATTGATCAAAGAAGGACAGAGGGTCCCTGAGAGCCATCAGGAGAGTCTATGGCTTTTGGAGTATGGGGTATCCAAAGTTTCCAGGAGAAGGAACTCTTTAGAGCCCTTCAGGAGTCTATTTACATCTCCAATTTTCCTAAACTGTCCACCTGCTAAAGCCTCCAGGCAGTCAAATCGCCTTCACCTATGGAGAGTACACAGTGTCCTTGGACTAACAAGAGCACTAACACTGCTCTTGTGCTTTCTGGGGCAAATAAAACACGGATCAAGAGGTAAGGGGTTGAAATTGTAGATCTAACATGAGGCATCGGTCATGGAGCTCAGAGGAACAGCAGATTCAGGTATCATGAAGAAAAGAAAAAAAACCAGATTAAGGAGAAGGGCGTGGAATCCTAGGAGAGGTTCATGCAAATTTAGGGAATGGGTTGAAGGGCTAGAGTACTTGGATGCAGACTGGAGAGCATGCAATACATGAAGCTCAGCTGAGGAAAACCACATGCATGAACAGGGTAGGGGATGGAAGTTCTTTCTTGGTCATTTCCATCACATCAAAGCTTTTTCCTTATGCTCTACCTGTGACATCCTGGGCTTGCTAGATTTTCTCTGTTCTACCAAGAAAATGAAACAACCCTCCACCCCCAAAATACCATGTAATACAGGTCTACAAGTCTTGGTAGCTCCAAAGGTAAACATCAATGAATAACCCTACTCCTAGGACTGTTAATGGGAAAAAATGTTCCCACTGAAGGATCAGGAACACATCCTAAGCACTGTCTCAGTCCCCAATCTCTCCAATGCTCTTCTCCTCAAAGGAACCAAGAACAGAGAAGGCAGCACCATCTACAAAAGACTGAGCCTCTTCTTCATCAATGAATAAGAGTCCTAGCTCAAAATTACCATACCTGATCAGCCTCTAACCTGCATTTTTGTTTGTCTTGATGTTTAGTTGATGTCCCTGTGCCTTGCTTTCCCCTTATAATCTAGTGGCAGGAGGGCAAAGGAGTCTCTAGCTCATCAGAGTGGTTAGAAAAACTGTGTTGGATTTGAAGATGATGGTAGTAGAAGATTAGAGAGATAAGAACACATTAAAAAATAAATAAAACAAAACACCAGATTCCAGGGCAAGAGATTATGCCTATGCTGAACAGAATGGGGAACATTAGGGGGAAGTAAAAAAGGAAACTAGAAGGGAGAGGAGCAGCCAATGCTATAGCTACCAGGCAGCCTGGCCCCAATCCCAATCAAGCAACTAATGCAAATCACATAACCTCAGGGGCTAGATAGGCTCTCCAGCCAGAAATGCAGTAAGCAAAGCAGTCAGTCCCAGCCAGGGTAGTGGCAGCAGTCAGCCTGTGGTGGGGGGGTACCGTAGAGGCACTCGGGATCATCCTGGCCTGAGCGCAGCCAGTTCCGGAAGAGGCGCAGGTGGTAGGAGCACTGGTGCAGGTGGTGCGCCAGCGTGGCATCCAAGGAGACTGGCCAGCCCCTGGGGCAGTCAGAGGAAAAAGTGCGCAGCAGCCGGACCACAGGGTGCTGGTCATCCAGCAGCTCTGCAGGGGACAGAGGGACCAAGATAGGAAGCACAGAGATAGAGAAAAGAAGAGGGAGAGACAGTGAGGAGGGCACTGACTGACAACATTACTGGGAGCAGGGGTCACTCAGACCCAAGGTAAACTAAGGAAGAAAGAAAGATGGTCAGAGGGACTGGTCATCCCTTACTTGGAAGAAGAATATTGGCACCACACAGTGAGACTCAAAGAAGCCATTAATGAGACCCCAGGCCCTCCCCTTCCTCAAGCACAATTTAGTCGGTGCCAGAGGAGCATTCTGGATAAGGGTGAGCTGCAAGTTCTGCAGCCGGGGAGCCTTGACTAGAGTTCCGGTCTCTGATCTATCTTAGATAAACCCTAGGGTCCACTTCTCAAACAAATGAATTTATGACACTGGGGCTGAGATGAAGAGATTCAAAGTCACTCAGAAAAGAAGGTCAAAATGATATTAGATGTTAAGATAACTCCAAAACTGAAAACGTTCCAGAAGGCTAAGGCCTGCTGCGATGCAGATTCTAGGATAGCCACAGATGGGACTGGTGCCAGGTGGCTGGCACAAAATCTTGGCAGAAAACCAGGAGTAGGACTCCTTTGAAACAATGCAGGTTAAAAAAATCAGACAGACTTGCTCTTTATAATACAAATATGACTAACTGCCCTTTACCTTACTCTTGTACAAATAAACACTTTAGTTTCAGAATATGGGTGGTAGTGGTGAAATGTCCCTCACTCAGGCCAAAAGTTATATCATTTTATGTTCTCTTTCCATGGATGATCAGTCTAACTGTTCTTTGTCCAGCTGGTGTGTGGAAGAGCTTTAATTCAGAATCCCTCATTGTTTTAGCCACTTGGTACATTCAGTGAATGTCTGGGATTCAGCAGCAAAACAGGTGAAGGCATCGAAAGGCATCAATGAGGGGTACAAGAGGACCAGCAGTGTCAGGCCTTGGAGGGAGTATATGGGGTTGAGACTGACATGAGGATGAGCCAGGACTTGATTCAGGAAGGGCAGGAGAATCAAAGCGGATGAAGATGACTGCTCAGAACTCCCAGATCAGAACCGTTTCACCTGCTGCTCCCATGAGACCACAGCTTCCAAAGAGCTTGGTTTTCAGTTCCTCTTGGACTAGTATAGTGAGGCCTGACTGTAGTAATGGTCACACAGCTTTGTGGGACGATAGACCATAAAAAGGCTAACAAATCCACTGGGTGCTCAGGCACTCTGGATGAGGATGAACCGCTGCCTCTTTCCCACTAGATTAATTCGCTTCAGTGACTTCAGCATTTAGTGATGTACCACACCCATGTGCTGGTTGTAGTCACAGGATATGATAGCTCATCAGACACAGGAGCAGGAATGTACGAGGGGCTGTTCTTCCATCAAAGTATGGAGACGGCATTGCCTTGTCTCTTGTCCAAAGCCAGGTCCAGTTTGTTTGTTCAGTTGTTTTTCAGCTGCTGTGTCAAAGCCAGATATCATGCAAGGAGAAGATGGTGTTGGATAGCAGGCTTGGCACACTGTTATGAAGAACGGTAAGCAACGGTAGACAGAACAACGGCTCTGTAGTTGCTGAGTCAGTAAAGCAGGACCTTGGCCAAGGGGTAGAGCTCTCATGTTGTCTTAAATGCTAAATTCCATCAAGATGATCTTCTCTGTCAAATACACTAGTTCCAAATTTCTTGTTACAACAGGTAGATCCCAGGTCCTGGCTTTGCAAGAATATTAACCTCCTAGCTCAAACACAAGAGAAGCGAGGAGCTAGAAGAACCCTGGGCAAATGTGTAAGATGCCAGAGACCTGGGTTGTTCTCCTACACTACACTTGCATTGTCCGGGCCTTTCTTCCCTTCCTCCTTACATCAGAATTCTTGTTTCTTCAGCTGCTGAGTCTGCCAACCAAGGCTTCAAATAACTGGAGATCAAGGTTTGAGGATTTGTTTTTATGAACCTGGGTTTTTCTCTTATGGCACCCAAGAAACTGGGAGATACATGATATATCTCTTATTTCAGGGTTCAAGCTCCTGTTTCTATATTATAGACTAAATCCAAGTCCTTGGCTTGGGGTCTGGGCATCAAGCTCTCCTCTAATGACAACCGTGATATGTGAGACTATATGAGTTACCACGGACATGTCATTACAGCTGGGGACTTTGGCCACAGGCAGAAAAGAGAGCCTGGAGGTGGAGATGAACTGAATGAATGCAGGGTCAACTTAAAGAGAGACTCCAGCAGTGTCTAGAGAATGAACATGACCTGACCAGACTAAGATCTAACACCTGCCACTGGTGAGGCAACTGATGGGGCGGGGCAGGAAATCAGAATAATTTAACTTCCTCTGAGAGTCTCAGCTCTTGAATAGAAGAAAACCATATCTAACAAAAGTGGATTTACTTAGGGAACAAGATACAACACAGAGAAAAAAAAGCAAACCAAAATAAAAGTTCAATAGGGAATAGGTCTCAGATTCTCTTGTCATAACCCACAAAAAAGACCTTAACCTTTCAGGGTACAATGTATACAGACTTAGTTCTTCTATATTCTTAAAATATTGCTTATTCCTGAGTCCTTCCAGGGTTCCCATCTCATGCCTTCATTTCCAGCTTCTCTGATTCAGTGTTTCCATAGGTATACCTGGCCTCACAGAAAGTCAAGACTCAAGATGAAGAGGCTGGAGCCTAGTTCAGTGGCAGAGCGCACAAATACCAGGGTTCACTTTCGGGCACAGACCACTCAGCCAAAGAGAAAAAAGGAAAAAGAAAAAGAAAGAAAGAAGCCTGAAGGCACAGTCCTTTCTCCTTACCTAGCACCTCCCATTCCTTTCTATTGTTTTTCTTTTATCCCAGAGAAATCTGGGCTCCTGTTCTCTAGGCTCAGGCACTAGGTTAGTAAAACATAAAGCAGATGTCAGGAACACAAGAGCCACACAAGTGCACAAAATGGCAGGAGACAGGACTATGGCAATGGGAGGTCACATGTCCAAACCAAAGCCCTAATAAGTAACTGTAGGGTTGGTCCAAAAGAGAACACACTCTGCATCTACTCCATCAAGAGCTGCAGAGTAAAACAGGAGATCAAAATTACATAAGTTGAGATAGCAGGGAGAAAGTGAGCCCTCTCTAGGTGATGCTATTTTCAGCTAAGAAGAAAACCTAGTGTGTCTGCACACAGCCTGGCAGTTACGTGATAGGAAAGGGAGAGCTGTGACTGATGCTTTGGTGGTGATGTTGACAAAAGTTATGGAATGGTGATGATGGTGATTATGGAAATCAGACCCTGAGTTGCAACAGGGATAGGTCAGCCTATCCAGGCTACAGCCACAGCTATGGCTGTCATAAGGGAAATGTCCCAGGAGGGACATTTGGTGAGGGGCTCATTCAGAGACAGCAGGGTGTCAATATAGTGGAAGGAGAGGCAAAGTCAGTGTCAGAACTCAGGGTTAAGTGTCTGGAGGTGACATGAGGAGGAGGAATGACGCTGAGTCAGAAGCAAACGTACCGTTAGTCGGATGCTTTGCAAACGACACAGAAAATCGTTTTACGGCCGGGACAAACAAGAGCTCTGGGGAGAAAAGACATCACGGGGATTATACCCACCCCTGTGACCGCCCTTGGCTTTGGAACCTGCCCACTATGTACTTGCTTCTTTACCTTGTTATGTAACCTGGTCCCATTCCCCACCCTTGCATCTTGGCTACAACACTCCATTTATTACCTCTACTGTAATCTCTCAGTAGTTGGTGTCACCTCTACCACAACATGGTCCCACAAAAACAACCCTGATTTCACCACCATGCTCTCTTTCTATCCACTTGGAAACAAAGTCTGTATAGAAACTTCCTTCCCTTCCCCCAGTATCTTTCCATATCATCTTTTCACCTTAACTGAGCAACCTCCACATCCCTAACACTAATTCCTTGGAACCTAACCAAGACTCCACTGCATTCCTCCTGACCATGGATCATCCTCTCGGTCCTCGACCTACAGGCCAGAATCCAGGAAAGAGTACAAATTGATGCAGCCAGGCTGTGTGTGGGCGGTCATGAAGGGATAAGCATAAATAAGTAGTATTTGTATGGTGAGAGGGATGCAAATGGAGGAGTGGAAGGGGTCCTGGCTCCTTCTCCCATCTATTGTCCATGAAGAAAGCTTGGTGTCAGGCCACGGCCAGTGCCATCTTAAGCATGAATAGTTCTGGATCTGTATGCTTGCTGGGAGACAAGGGTTTTTTTTTTTTTTGTTTTTAAAGAGAGAGAGTTCCCCCCAAAACCCACCCACATACCATCTCGGTGCTTTAGACTGGCAGGCGGGAGCTTTTTGCCATGGCTGCGGGCGTAGTCCTGAAGATTCGGCGCGCTGGAGGAGCCACCCAGCACTGTGGTGCTGAACAGCCCTGTGCACTGTGAGCCTGCAAGGCCGGGAGCACATTAGTAGCCACGCACAGCTGCACACAGAACACCCAACTTCACAGTACAACATTAAGACACACACAGCCTTTCAGCGCCACCACAATGCAGCAACTCCAGGTAACCACAAAGAGTGTCCACTACTGTCCAAAGCCACACCAGGCAAGCAAAGTAGCAACTCTCCAGATCTACATGGCAGAGACAAAAGACCACTACAAAAAAGGTGTTAGTCTTATTAGGTATTCAGTCAACTGAGGTGGGCTGGGCTTTCCAAGGTAACTCTCAGAAGCACTATGAAAATAGGTAAATCTCCCTAAACTTTTAAAACCTGTGTTACTTTGTGTAGGAGGAGGGGAGAATGCATGCTATGGCATGCATGTGGAGGTAAGGGACAACCTGCAGTACTCAGTCCTCTCTTTCCATCATGACGGTCCCAGGGGTTAAACTCAAGTCATCGATTTTGGCAGCAAGCAAGTGCCTTTACTGTGAACCACCTTACTGGAGTGTGCTCCCCTAAAGCCAGTCAGGTGCTCTTCACTCTGGATAGAGCAGCTGAGAAGCCTAGAAATCTAGCCCGTTAGAGGTCTGAAAGGGAAAAGTTTTCCCTGAATCTAGAGACTGGGTTTGGGGACTTGGCTGGCACACAGTTCCATGTCCTTCATTGGACATCCTATCCTGCAGAGCTTCTTTCTCTTACAAGTATGAGCCGTGTGCTTTTAAAGCTGAAAGGGACTCAGAAACCATCTAGTTTAACTTTTTCATTTTACATAATAGGAGAAGAAGCAGATCCCAAAGGGGTCTCCCTTGCTCAAGGTCACAGTACAGGAGCCAAGGAGAACCAAAATCTAGGTCTTCTTCCTCCAGGGACTAACTGTGTTTGGTTAGAAGAAAAGGATTTTCGTCACAGTGCAACAGCATAGACCCTGAAGTCAAGATGGACACAAACCAGAAGACATCTGAAAAGCCAGTCTCTTATAAAGTAGGGTATGCCAATTATGTGCTAGGCACCCTACTAAGACAGAAAGCAGAAAACAACAACAAAACTTTCTTTTCCTGCTCTTGCAATCCCTGTGATCAAAACCAGCTGCTCATACATGTAAGCTCAGAGAAAGCAAAAAGAGTGCCAGTTTGAGGAGTAAATGAAACTTGAAGAACCTCTGGAAAGGGTAAGTCAGGTCAGAAATTGTCCCCAGGGTGGTCTAGAGTAGGGTTGGACTCCCCAGTCCTCCTTCTATAGCCTCAGTGACAGAGTAACTGTGAAGTCCTAAGACTGACATTCTTGAGTTAAGTGTGGTGGCACATGCTTTTAATCCCAGCACTGGGGAGGCAGAGGCAGGAGGATCTCTGTGAATTTAAAGCCAGTCTGGTCTATGTAGTAAGTTTCAGGTCAGCCAGGGCTACATAGAGAGATCCTGTCTCAAAACAAAAACAAGACTGAGATTCAGATTCTTGGATTTGTCCTTCTACTTCCAAACATCATAACCATGACCCTGAGTTTGGCTGGGGAGGTCATATTCATATTCAGACTAGAAAAAAGGGTAGTTTCCCTTGAACCTATAGAGAAGACCAGGGTCCCAGTATTTCAAGGTTACCACAAAAATCAGAAATCTCAGGTGGGCAATGGTTTCTACCCTGGAATTCGGTACCTCTCTCTGCAGCAACTTCTCTCAACTTCCATGCTCCGCCAGGCTTTAGACCAGAGTGATACACTGTAAACCATGTCTGCTCTTCTTCAAAGGAAGCTGAAGGGAGCTGTCTCCATCCTAGACCACATCAAGCTCTGTACTACATTTATTTCCTCTATTGACTACTTTCCTGGTACAATCATGCCAGCCCTACTCTGCCCAGCCCTGGGATATCTCAAAGGGAGTCTCTATCTTACCATCTGTCACTAGTTCTGTGTAGCCCTCTCTCTGCCTTACTCTGCTTGTTTGTTTTTGACATAGGAGTCAATGTTGTCTATGCTAGCTAGCCTCGAACCCCTGGGTTTTAGGGATCCTCCCAGCTCATCCCCTGAAGTGCTTTGGTCTACAGGCACATTCCACCGCACTATATGCCCAGCTTCCTATGCCTTATTCTCTTTTCTCTTTTTTTCCTTCTTTTTTGTTTTGTTTTGCTTTTGTTTTTTTTGAGACAAGGTTCATCTGTGTATCCCTGGCTGCCCTGGAACTCTGTAGATCAGGCTGGCCTCAAACTCAAAGAGATCCACCTGCCTCTCCCTCCTGAGTACTGGGATTAAAGGCATGCACCACCACTGCCTGACTGTTTTGGTTTTTTGAGGCAGTCTAACTATGTAGGCTTGGATGGCCTAGAAATCACTATGGAGACCAGGATGGCGTGGAACTCACAGAGATCTACCTGCTTCTGTCCCCCAACCCCTGACCTCTGAGTGCTAGGATTAAAACTGTACTACCATGTCTGGCTTCTATGCCTTATTCTTTTTCTTTCTTTTTTTTTTCCCAGGACAGGGTTTCTCGGTCTATGCCTTACTCTTGAGAAGACTCCCACTCGCACACCTATCTTCTTTCTAATCTATCTGAAATCTGTTCTTTACTGGGTCTTGCTTTTTCTTGGCCTTTTGGGGATTCTGGGGTGAAAGGCCATTTTGCTGACCTACACAACTGTCATTGAACTCTCATGCCCTAACTTATTTCAGGATTCTAGAAGGCAGTATCCTTTCATAAAATTAGCTTGGAAAACTTTCAAAACATTTATCCTCTTTACTAGTTCAAATATTAACCATTTGGGGACCAAGAAATTAAGCAGCAAGTACAAAAGTAAAAGAAAAAAAATGAGAGGATTTAAACTGATAAGATTTTAAAAAAATGAGCCAGAAGAACAAGTTCAGGCCACACACCATCATCTCTGACCTCTAGTTAGTTACTTGGTTCACATGGTACTGTGTTCAGAGGCAGTCCACCTCAAGAACTGCCCCAAAGAATACCATACCCTCTGAGGTTTGGTGCTTCCTCAAGTCTGTGTCCTTAGAAAAGGTTGAAGGATGTTCTCCCTCCCTTTCCAGGGCTCAAAAACATCAAGAGATATCCCCTCAATGTCCTGAGGGAAGCCTCTGCCACCTCACCCGTCTCAGATTTGTGTCCCTCAAGCTTCCGGAAAGAAAGGAAAAAGTTACAGGATTAGGAAAGCAGGGCGTGAAAACCAGATTTCAGAGGAAGATGTGGCACAAGGTCTCATATGGAAATATGATAACTGTGGGTCACAAGTACCTTTTGTTTTACCTGTATAACTCAAGTACCTGTCACTGATAACTCTGAAGGGTCAAAGCCTCCATGGTCCCTTAAAGTCTGGGCTAGACTGGAGGGACAGATAAGGAATGAGAAGGAAAACCAGAAAAAATACCCTTCAGCTAAGGAAATGGGGATTGGTGGGGAAAATCAAAAAGCAAACACTCTTCTAGTATGAAAACCATCACCTAGATCCATCCACACACAGCTCCAGCCTCCTCCACTTGATTTTCCCTTCCCAATCTGACAGTGCCACTGACTGGATGGTCTCAGTTCCCGAGAGAAAGATTTCCCACAATAAAACTCTGGATCACAGACAGACAACCCGTTCCAACCACACGTGAGAGATGCTGGAAAACGTACCTAGGCCGCTTTGCTTCATCTCTGTGGGTGGCCGTGAAGATGAAAATAGCCGATAGCCACCAGGTCTTGAAGATGAAGTTTCAGACAGCACCTGTAGAAAAAGGGCTCTATATTAATCCCCTTGTGATCTCAAAGCATAAGATCCAGGTTCTGAATTCTTGCCTCTACAAAGCCAAGCAGTATCAAAAAGATTAGATGAAGATTTTTATGGTGAAAGAGGAATAAGAAGGGAACAGAGTGCACGTTGCAGAGGTGAAGTGTCCAGGAGTCCATCTATGTTAGAAGGCATTTCTACTGCCAAAACACTGGTCCTCGCATACTCCCACCTCCACCCCACATCTGACGACTATGATCCAACTTATTGGTCATCCCCAGCAGAGTAGGCACTGCAGTCTTACCTGTTTCTTCCTAGGACTCAGAAAGCCAATCACAGTGACTCAGCCACAAATAAAGTATGGCCCACCCTCTCTTTTTTCCAGGGACAGCTGAGGTGAATATAGCCATCCTCAGTTTCTTACTTAAGCCAAGATGCCCCCTCTTCAATGATATTATTCCTGGAATCATGATACTGATTTTCCCCTCAAAATACCCATGAGGGCCAATCACACAATCCCCAACAGACATACATCCCACCTAGGCAATGAGCAGCTTCCCTAAAACCCAAAAGCAAAGACAGAAGGCAGGAAAGGAAGGCAAGGCAGGAAGAGACACCTGTGTGCAGGAAGCCAGGTGAGTGGTGGACACAGCCCGGGGCTGTAGGCCGATGGCTGGGGAAAGCCGGGGGAGGTCTCCTGACCTCCTGCGGCGCCGTCCCCTCAAGGGGATCAGGTCCAGGTTCCCTGTGCACTGCATGTTCATGACCTGCAATCAGACCGGGTGGAAAGCCGGTCAAGGCTCCTTTAGCGTCCAAGCTCCCAAAGCCCCAGTGTCCATTGGGCAGATCCAGTTAGAGAGCCGGAGAGGATGGCCAGCTACGACATAGCTGCTATTAGGGTCATACGTTTTATAATCTAAGACAGTTTAAAAATATGAGATGACAAGAGAAGAAGGAGGGATGAGATGCCATTGATGATGACAAGACATCCAATATTGACCTACAGAGCAAGGAGAGACAGCATTAATAATAAAAGGCTGTGTGACCAAGGATCTGGCTGAGGAACACATTCTAGGTAGTCATCACCCTGAACTTGATCCAGCCAGAATCTACACAACACTGATAACTCAAAGGAAGGAATGTGATTGCAACAAGAAACGTAGATAAGTCTGGTGGCTCAGGCCTGTGGTCCCAGCTACTCAGGAGGATAAGGCAAGAAGATCACCAGTTCAAAGTCTGGTGTATGCTACAGAGTGAGTTCAGAACCAGCCTTGGTAACTTAGCAAAACTCAGTCTCAAAATAAAAAATAGCAGAAAGGGATGGGGATGTCACTCAGTGGTAGAGCACTTGTCTGGCATGTGTGAAGCCCTGGATTCAATTCCCAATACCACAAAGAAAAAAATGATCGTATTCAAGGAAGCTTCCAGAAAGATGACAATCTCAGTGAGCCTGAGAAAGGATGTCACAGAATTCTCTTTTGTTTATGTCCCCTGTGCTGACATAAAATGACAGTCAAGGACAGATAATTACATACCATCCTGTCCATCGGATCTACTGTACAAGGGTGATAGGGTGTGCAGAGTGCTGGGCGCCAAGTTATACCTGTACCTCAAGAGAAACTAAGACACATATCTCCTAAAGAAATTGCATCTTAAACACAATATTTACCCCTAAAATAATCAGGAAGCAAGGGATAAGTCTGGATAGAGATCGTAGTTTATTTTCTTGGCCTTCTCCAAAATCTGAAATGTAAATCTCTGCATTAACATATGGAAGTTTATTGTAGATTCTCCTGAGATAACCCTAAAACAGAAAAACCAAATCCCACAAGACAGAGACCTGCCAAGAGCCAGTTGAATAGATCCACGAGTCCAGAGCAGTATCCAGAGCAGGCAGTCTCTGAGACAGAGATAAGTCATGGCATCAAAAGAAGTGTCATGGAGGAAATGAAAGAAAGTATTACTGGGCCAAGGAAGAAAACTGGGTTACCAAGAAAGACAAAGCAAAACCTGGGGACATTAAGGAGATGCAGTGACAAATCTAGATTGGAAAATCAGAAGTGGGATTTCAGACAAAATCTAAAAATAACAAAACACAGACCCAGGCAGATAAACCATCTCAACAGGAGAGACACATAGAACTCTAGATGATCAATCATCCTTCCGGCATGACAGTATATAACCCTAACAGCATTCAAGTGCCAGGAATGTGCTCAAGTCTGAGCAAACACGTCTATAAGGTAAGGTAGGTATTACTCATATCACGCAGATGGGAAAAGAAGCGAGGCTTGAGAAGCTACCTGGACAAGGTCACAAAGCTTCTGGGAATCAAACGGTGATGTCAGCCCAGAGTTCATGCTGTCTCTACTTTATCTTAAAATCCTTTTTCTCTTAGGTACCGCTCACTGGCAAGTCTTTGCCATCACAAGTAGCAACCAGCTTAAAGAAGTTCTACTGGGGACCAGCTGTGAAAGGAATATTAGGTAAACATAAAACCACTGCAAGGGGACTCTGCTTCAGGTCTCAAGAAGATACAGAGGAAACATGGATATTTTCCTATGAGTACTTGTACCCCATCATCATCTTGTATCCATCTCATTACCTCCATGGAGCCAGCTTTTCGATTCCGAATGAGGGGTGATCTTCTCGGGAGGCCAGTGCCCTCAATAGGTTGGGGTGAGGTCTGTAATGCTCGGTCTGGTTCATCTGATGCCTTCCCTGAACATAGATTCTCTATGCTGCCTTGATCTGGTTTCATCTCCTCGTTCTATAATAATGGACAAATAGAGAGACATTAATGATTTCCATCTTCTTCATATCAAACTCCTCAACCTTCTGAACCATCCTGGATTACTTCCCAGTTTTCCACCACCTGGTCCCCTGGTCCCTAAGTCCTATAGTCCCAAATCCTAGCCCTGACTCACCTCCGATGAGGCTGGACGGAATCCACAGCCAGCTGGGGCACTGCCTTCTTCAATACCTTTCACTCCAGGGCTGAAATGTAGCTCTACATGGAACCGCTCCTCTGACAATGGGTCCTATAGGATATCACCATATGAAGGGTAATTGGGAGAATCTGGATGTGGTGACAGGACATGAGGGAGCAGTGGAGAGGAACTCAAAAGGATACAACCACCCAGGAAAGCCACGACTGAGGTTTCTGGGTCTTACTCTCAGTCTGTGGCTCATCTATTATAGAAGCTCACACCTCCCCTCCAGTTCTACAATCCTTCCCTGCCTCCTCCTTTCCCAGTAACAGCTTGCCTATGGTATACACAGCAGAACTTTAGAGATGTCTTTGCTAAGAGTGATGCAGAAGACATGCATGTGTACACACGCACGCATGAGCGCGCGCGCCCCCCCCCACAGAGTTACAGATATTAGCAGAAACAAGAATCATAAAACACTGTCCCAAATTCTACAGTTGTGTTCTAGGTTTTCTCTCTGGCTCAACATCATCCCAAGACATGGGTTCTATTTCAGTAGGACTTTTTAAAAAATAATTTATTTATTTTTGTTTTATGTTCGTTGGTGTTTTGCCTACATGTGTGTCTGTGTGAGGGTGTCAAATCCCCTAGAAATGGAGTTACAAACAGCTGTGAGCTGCCATGTGGTGCTGGGAATTGAACCTGGGTCCTCTGGAAGCGCAGACAGTGTACTTAACCACTGAGCCATCTCTCCAGTCCTTCAGTAGGACTCTTGTAGGTGCTCTGTGCCATGCTGTACCTACACACTGCATCGAGCTGGATTCTATAAATTCTTTTTTTTTCAAAGATGGAACCCAAGCTGGGCGGTGGTGGTGCACACCTTTAATCACAGCACTCGGGAGGCAGAGGCAGGTGGATCTATGTGAGTTGGAGGCCGGGCTGGACCGACAGCCTCCAAAACAATAGAGAGAAACCATGTCTTGTAAAACCAAAAAAAAAAAAAAACCAAAAAAAAAAACAAAACAAAAAACAAAGATGAAACCCAAACTTACTGAGTACAATGCAAAGAGAGAAACAGATGGCAGTTGAAGAAAAACTACTGCCCAAAGCCCAAAGTCTATACAAATCTAAGAATAAGAAATTTTTTGTGCCAGGCAATAGTGGCACATGCCTTGAATCCCAGCACTTGGGAGGAAGAGGCAGGTGAATCTCTGTGAGTTCAAGACCAGCCTCTGAAAAAGAAACAAACAAAACAAAAAAAAAAAAAAGAAAAAAGAAAAAAATTTTGTGGGCCAGTGGGACAGCTCAGCAGGTAAAGGTGTCTACCACTAACTCCAGTGATCTGAGTTTGATCTCCAGGAACCACAAAGTGAAGAAGAGAGTCAACAGGAGTTGTTCTAAGATCTCTACACATGCACACGCGCGCGCGCACACACACACACACACACACACACACAAACAATAAATAAATAAATAAATAAATAAATAAATAAATAAACAAAAGGGATCCAGGCGTTGGTGATGTATGCCTTTAGTTCCAGCACTCAGGAGGCAGAGGCAGGAGGATCTCTGTGAGTTCAAGGCCAGCCTTGTATACACAGCAAGTTTTAGGACAGCCTTGAAAGCTACACAGAGAAACTCTGTCTCAAAAAAAAAAAAACAAAAACAAAAATAAATAAATAAAAATAAAAGGGAAGTTGGTTTTTAATAGAAGTAGGAAGAAGGGCCCTTCCCTCATCCCGCCCTGTGGCCCTGCTGGCTCCTCACCCGAGTGTTGTCCTCATAAAGCATGATAACAATCTGGGTCATGTAGTTGAGCTCTGAGATGGCACTAAGATAAGCCAAAGCTCGCTGCCATTGTGCATCCTGGGTCTCCTACCAAACACAAACAAAGGTAAGCCAGCGCCCAAGGACAAGTAAAAGGAGTGGGCAGGGGACCAAGGAGAATGGCAAATATTCACAGGAAAAACAAGCGCAGCAAGGACAGCTGATGACCGCTAGGAAATAAATGCTCAGAGAAGGAAAGAGGAGGATGCTTACGTCAAGAAGTCCCCCATAACGGAAGACACTGAGTAAGGAGTGAACGTGACTCTCACTGGTGAAATAGAGTCGCGTTCGAACATGGCGGCCTGGGGAGAGCACTCCACGGGAGTACCTGACATAAGAGGTAAATCAGACACCAGTCAGATGACCCTTTTCCCAGTCTCTGAAAACTCCTCCTCCCACCCAAAGACCTCTGTCTTCTCTGTCCCAGATCCTTTCTCTTCTTGGCTCCCCACCTGACTCAGCCATGATTCCCTCAGGGTTCCCAACATCCCTCCCTCCATCCGGTTCCCCTCCCAGCCCTCCCTCACAGGGGATGCAGCTTGTTGACAGACTCATCCTCGTGGGTTCTCTGCAGGTCAAGTAGGATCTTCCTCAGCAGTGGAAGACAGAAGCCCACAGCAATCTCCATTTTCTCCTCTCGACTGATCCCATACTCCTAAGGGTCACAGGTCAGGAAGAAGAGGCTCAGTTAGTCTTGTCCCACATCTGTTTCCCTCAGGTCTAGAGTTTCTTTCCTGTCCATCATATCCCCTCCAAAAGTATCCTCAGTCCATCGTAATGCACAGCCTAACCCTGGGAACTGTAGAAACTCAATTCCCTCTCCAAGCTTCCTTTCTTTCCTTCCCTCTCATTGTTCTCACCCTCCTGGGTCCATTATATGAAACCCACCTGAGGAATGACCACATCAGCCAGAGCTTTTGAGAGATGCAGCAACTCAGCTGTGCCTTGAAGTCCCAGACTCCCATTGTGTTGTACATCATACTTGACACAGTCGTAGATATCAGGGATCTTACTGATGTCATAGCGCCCACTCTTTTGTCGAAAGTCTCGCTCTAGTTTACTCCAGCGCTGCAGCATTAGCTCTAGTGTCTCACTGTGGTAGAGTTGCAGGTCTGAGAAGAAGGCAGACTGTCAAAAGGGGCCTGATTTGACTTCCACCGGAAGACCCTGACAACTCTGGAGTAGACTCAAGAGGGATCAGGAGTTCCTGAGGAATGTATCCATGCCTGGGACTTTGGAGGCCAGACAGTAGTATTCACACCCACCTACAGAGCTAGGGTCCTGCATCCGTTCCCGAATCTGGTGAGTAAGATTTTCAATCAGGGAAAACACCTGATCGCAGACTTTCACAGGATTCTGGATTACAGACATGGAGTTGAGCAGAGAAGTGCTTCCAGTCGGAGCCAGCTGTGAGGAACAGAGTGCAGAAAAGGAGACTGGGCTTAGGCAACTCCCCAGACTCTGGCTTACTACAAAGAGACCAGCTTCAATACAGATCTGCCTGCTGGTTCACTTCAGGAGGTTCTTACGTTCCTGGGCATCCAGGCAGTTCAGGCCTTTCAGATGAGGACACTGCTCCAATAAATAAATGATCATCCATGAGGGGCCCACCTTAAAAGTTTCAGAGTTCAGAGAAACTAAAGTATACTTACACTTTACTTGGGGACTATAAAATACACATGGAAAATGCTGGAGAATAAAGAATAAATTCCTTACAGTCTCTGTGAAATGTTCTGATGAGAACTAGAGAGGCCTATCTCGCACTGAATTACAGTATCAGTGTCACTTCTAATTAGGTTTCAGCTCAAGGTTTTTCATTTGTTTGTTTGGTTTTTTTGGATTTATTTATTTATTACATATACAGTGTTCTGCCCACATGCCAGAAGAGGGCACCAGACTGAATTGTAGATGGTTGTGAGCTACAATGTGTTTGCTGTGAATTGAACTCAGGACCTCTGGAAGAGCAGTCAGTGCTCTTAACCTCTGAGCCATCTCTCCAGCTGTGTTTGGTTTGTTTTTGAGTTAAGGTCTTCCTATGTAGCCTTGGCTGGCCTCAAGCTCACAGAGATCCGTCTTACCTCTGCATCCTGAGTGCTGGGATTTGTGTTCTCCATTACACCTGGCTTCCAGTTCAAACCCTTAAGACAGTTACCATCAGTACAAAATGAGGAATGCTGGAGCGATGGCTCAGTAGTTAAGAGCACTTACTGCTTTTGCAGAGGGTCAGAGTCTGGTTCCCAGCACCCACATTGGGTGGCTCATAGCTACTTATACCTCCAGTTCCAGGAGCCCTAACACCCTCTTCTAGGCTCCATAGGCACCTAGACTCAAGTGCACAAGCCACACACAGGTACGCATGCACATATAAACTCAAAAATAAAATATTAAAAGAAATAAATAATAATAAATGCAGGTGGAATAGAGTTCCAGCGAAGGCCTCATAAGTTTCATTTTTACTAGCAGAAGGAGGCATAAAGAGAGGGAGAGGACCCTGGATTTTCTGTTTGGCAGTGAATACTAGGTGGGAAAATAAGGGAACAAGTGTGCCCTTTAGTAAGTCACTCAAGAACCTACCAGAGGGACCAGAGAAATGGCTCCACTGTTGAGAATGAGTCTGCTCTTCTAGAGGACCTGAGTTTGGTTCCCAGCACCCACATGGCAGCTCACAATTGTCTGTAACTCCAATTTCAGGGGATCTGATGCCCTTTTTTGATCTTTAGTGGCATTGCACAAATGTGGTATTCATATATACATGAAGGTAAAACAAACATTCACATAAAAATTTTTAAAATACACACTTAAAAAAAAAAAGAAAGAAAGAACCTGAGCTGGAGAGATGACTCAATGGTTAAGAGCACAGACTGCTCTTCCAGAGGAACTGGGTTCAATTCCTAGCACCCACATGGTGGCTCACAGCTGTCTATAACTCCAGTTAACTCCAGTTCCAGGGGACTTGACACCCTCATCTAAATATACACAAAATGAAGGCGAAACACCAATGCACATAAAATAAAAATAAACAAAAATGTTAAGAAAAAGAACCTATCAAAATGAAGTGTGGGACAGTTAAAAAAAAAACAATAACAAACTGCTACCTGACCAACTGTGGCCTAGTTACCCAGGAAAAAGAAGATTGCACTGGGCAATGGCAACTGTTGTGACCAACACTACAAGGCAGCATGGACAAGCACTTAGCAGTCAGGCCTTCAGGTTAGACTCCTGGGGTCCAGACTACCTGCATCATCTTGAAAGGGTTGCTGAAGTTCTTTAGAACCCAGGCTTCCTCCTCTGTAAGATGGCAGAGAGGTAGAGCAGTTCTAACAGTTTCCTAGGCGGATTAAAGGTGACTATTAATTCTTTGTCTCTTTCCATGAATCAGGGCTGGCTTTGTAACTGCTTCACCAATATAAAATAACCACCATGTGTTGTGTTAATTGTGAGCCCCTGCTTTAAGACAGCTAAGAAGCTTTACAGTCAGGGGGCAGAGCTAGGGGGTCACTACATGTTCAAAACCAACCTGGGCTCTATAGAAATAACCTGCCTCAAAAAAAAAAAAAAAAAAGGAAGAAAACTTGGGAAGCTTCTGCTTTGGGTGAGTCCTAAGCTTCACCTGAGATGCTAGACCAATCACATGACAAGTTCTTGAGAAGGGAATAGGTCCTGCAGCTACAGGGAGCCAGTCACCCCAGAATTCTAGTTAAATCTCTAGATTCAACTAGATTCCAGCCCCAGTCAACGCTGCACTACGACTTCAGGAGAACACAACTAAGGCCAGCTGAACCCAAGACTGAGACAAGGAACTGATGCCCTAAGTTATAATCCTGAGGCAGTTCTTACATAGATCACTGAAACTGTCCTCCAACCTCAAGACCCAAAGTCAACTGAAACTTAAAACTGAGGGTTGTTGTTTTAGTATTTTAGATTACAGGATTTAAAACAGTGCATAAGTCACATGGCACATGATACCTTTAGCAGGGCCTAAGGCACAATCAACCACATTAATACTAAAAAATATGTAGCATTTACACCAAATGAGATAAATAAGGATTCTAAATAGTCTTGTGATGGGTCTATCAAATGAACCCTGATGCCAGACTTATAAAAATATTTTTAATCTTTGAATTTGTGGATAATGAAAACTGCGGACACTAGTTTTGCTGTAAGGATTAAACAAAATACTGTAGCTAAACATCCTAACACAGTGCCTGGCATATAGTGGCTACTATTATTTAGAGTTTTAGGAATTAGGTGCAGGATAGCTGGGGCAGAGACAAGGAACGTGTTACCTGGTCATAGTCCTCAGGGCCAAAGGGTGCATCCTGCTGCAAAATGTGGTGCAGTCGTGCCTTCACACGGTGCTGACAGCTGCTCAAGGAGTCACTGTCACTGTCCAGCAGCCCGTTCATGTTAGCACTCTTCACCATTTGCACCAAAATGGGTGTGAGCTCCCCTTCTAGAGCCAGGAGGCCCTGGAAGGAAAGCACAAGGTCTATTAGCTTCTCTTCCTGGTCAACATCCCTAGCCTACAAAGTCCCAGATATGGGATGGAGAGAGAGCCTCAAGAGGCCGGCTCTGACCATTCCCAGCTCCTTTTCAGTAGTACAGAATGGAGATGGACACACACTTCTCTGAATTAGCATACCAGCACGTTCCATCTAGTCCTCCCAACTCTGCTTCTTTCCCTAAGGGAACCTGGGGCAGTGGAAGAACCAGAGGGTTTACCTTCGCAAAGGCAGCAGCAGTCATCTGTACTCGGCCCTCATCAGAGGCATAGATCTTGAGGTCATGACGGAAAGTGCTATGGAGACGCAGCAGCCCACAGCCAGGGAAGCCAGCATAGTCACCTGGAGCAAAGGGGAATTCCAAGCATAGACTGTTACAAAGCTGTGTGGGGAACAAATATTAATTATCTCCTTAGTATCCTCACAGGATCTGTTCCTTCAATCACCTCTCCCCATCCAACTCTAATGATCTTATCCCAGTCTTTCTAGGTATTTACTCTCCAACACTCACCCTGGCCTCCAGGGTACATGCAGCGAAAAGCTCGACCCAGCTCCTCGGCCTGAACTCGGCCATCAGGAGTCAGCTCTCCACCCCACTTCAGCACCAGCAAGAGAGATGGTGTCAGGGTTTCTCTCGGCAGATCTGAGGGAAGAAGGCACAGTGGACAGGCCTTATCCAAGGTTTATGATGGGAACACATAAACGTCAGGGTTCCTGACAAGAACATAGGTAATTACAGGTAGAGACCATGCACAAGGTTGAGAGATCTGAAAGCTGGATATGGTGTCACCACGCCTCTAATACTAGCTCTTAGAAAACTGAGGCAGAAGAATGGCTGGGAATCTGAGGTCAGCCTGGGTTACATAGCAAGACTCTATCTCAAATAAATAAATAAATAAGCAAACAAACAAACAAATAAGTAAATAAAAGGTCAGAGAGATGACTCAGCTGGTAAAGGCATTTGCCACCAAGCCTAAGCACCCAACTTCCATCCCCAGAACCAACAGGGTAGAAAGAAGGAACTGATCCCCACAGTTGTCCTCTGAGTTCCACAACTGTTCTATGGCATGTGTGCCCCACCCCCACTAAATAAATAAATATAATTTTTTAAATGTTAAAGAGGAAAAGGAGGATGAGGAGGAAGAAGAGAGCTGCTCACCTTGGCCCTCATTCGAAGCTTTCACTCCGTGGGGGTAGTAAGTCAACTGCACCTTCCGATTGATACCTGAGAAGTGACCATACCTGAGGGGAACAGGCACAGGTTACTTCCTGCCCTGCACCTCCCTTAGAAGCTCCCTGCTGCTGTCCCTCTCTCACATCTCCAGCACGGACTTCAGCTGCTCCAGTTTCCCCGTCTTCTCCTCAATCTCAACGCCTGGCTCTTTCTCCAGCTCAGCCAACAGCAGCCTCGTAATGTCCAGCACCTCCTAGAGACCACAGGGAACCGTGTAGTCCTTCCTTCTGTCCATTTCACCCTTCTGTCCACCCCTTCTCATTCCCACCCTGGCTCTCCTTCTTCTTAGACTAGGACTCCCATCCAGATTCACCACCTTACCTGGAGCTGCTCAGGTCGCTTAAGTTTTAATTTTCCCGTCTTGTATCCACCATGCTTTTCAAATAGAGCAAAAAACCTGAAGAAGTAAAATGTAAGAAAAAAATCAGACCTCCTGGGAACTGTGCTCTACCCATACCCCTTGAGAAGAACTCTCCATCAGAATTAGGACACTGCTCCTACCTCGGGTGCGTCACCTCCATCTTCATCTTCTGCTTTGGGGTTCGATCTCCATGACGGATAATGGCAATGACACAGCGGAGTTCCATCCTAAGATTGGGAGTGTCCTCAGAGCCATTCTCCCACCCCAGACCTCAACTTACCTCCTACCATCACATTCTACTTGAGACATCAAAGAACAAAGGTGTCTGAGATTAGACACGCTGGAGGAGTTACAGCGACTGTAACTAGTAAAGGTCGGGTGCTTCTAGTCAGACAGCATGGGGTCAGGAAAGGAATCCCAGATTCTACGCAGGTCACTACAGACTTTTAGCATCTGCTTACATGGTGCCAGAAGTGGTAGGGACAATGGGGATGTCCTCAGCTTCTGTGGGGATGGACCATGGTATCTGGAACTGTGGGGCAAGCTCCCGCATAATGGTGTTCCTAGGAGGCAAACGGAACAAAGCTGAGGGAAAATAAATGAACAATTGTATGACAGAAGGTCATAACAAATATGCAGTCATGTAGCAGAAGAAAGCATTAATATAAGGCCTGAAACATCCAAACAAATAACCCCTTAAAAAAAGAGGCCACTGAGATGACTCAGCTGTTAAAGGCATTTGCCACCAAGCCTAACACATTGGCAGAAACAAATGCATGGCCGTGATAAGACAGTGAAGGCTAGTATTCCCTCTGGGTGTGGGGAAAGGATTTAACCTCAGCACTATACAGAAATTTTAACTATACTACTTTCTTTATTTTGTTTTCAGACAGGGTCTCATGTAGCCCAAGCTGGCCTCCAGACCACTAGGCTAGCCTCGAACTGATCACCTAATCCTACTAGTCTACCAAACCTACCTTCCACAATCCCAATGTTGGGATTACAGACATACACAACCAGGTTTAACTCATATATTCTTATACTTTTTAAAGCTTATTTTACTTTATGAATGTTTATTCTGCATGTATCTGCACACACATGTGTGTTTAGCAACCACCGAGGTCTGAAGAAGGCAATGGTCCCCTAGAACTGGAATTACGTATGGTTGTGAGCCTCTATGTGGGTGATGGAAACTTAAGCCAGGTCCTTTGCAAGAACAACAGTGCTCTTGACCACTGAGTCTTTTCTCTAGGCCTTCTTTCATTTTCTTATACATGTGTGAAAAAATATTTTTTTGAGACAGAGTCTCACTATGTATCCCTAGCTGGGCTGGAACTCATTATATAGAGCAGGCTGACCTTGAACTCAAGAGATCCTCCTGCCTCTGGCTCTCAAATGCTGGGATTATAGATGTGTGTTACCATATCCACCTTGAAATTTTTTTAATTAACTAAGTGATTAATTGTGTGTGTGATGTACATATGTGGGCATCGGTGTATGTGTGTATGTGTATAATGTATGTGTGTGGGCATGGTGTGTGTGTAAGATGCATATGTGTTTGTGTGTGGGTGTGATGTATATGTGTGGGCATAGGTGTATGTGTGTGTGATATATGTGTGAGCATGTTTGTGTGTGATATGTATGTGTGAGCATAGGTGTGTGTATGATGTATATGTGTGGACATGGGGGTGTATATATATAAGATGTATATGTATGAGCATGTGTATGTATGGTGTGTATGTGTTTGTGTGTGTGTGATGTATATGTATAGGCATGGGCATGTGGCAGTCAAGGGACAACTTTCAGCAGTCAGTTCTCTCCAACTTTTACATGGGTTCCAGGAACTGTACTCAGTTATCAAGTTTGCAGAGCAAGCTCTTTTACCATCTAAACCATATCTCAAGCCCTCAAATATTCTGTTTTAGACAGAGTCTCACACTGTAGCCCTGGCTGGTCTCGAACTTACAGAGATCTCTTACCTCTGCCTCCCATGCACCAGAATTAAAGGATGGGCAATCACACCCAGCTTTCACATATTCTTAATAGTATATTTTTTTTCTCGTGTATCCCAGGCTGGCCTCTTGTAGTGGATGACCTCAAAGTTCTATTTTGTATGTGTGTAGGTGGGTAAGTGGGGTTATACTATATTCATGTGTACAGGTGTATATATCAGTCTATGTGAGCCTGTGAAGGTCAGAGGTCAAAGTCAGGTGTCTTCCTCGTGTTTTAAGATGGGCTCTCTCATTGGTTGACCTGGAGCTTACCAATCATCTAGACTGGCTGGCCAGTGAGCGCTTAGGATTATCTTGTTTCTGTCTATGTTGGGATTACAGGCTACTCCTGACTTTTGACATGGGTGCTAGGGATCTAAACTTGGGTCTTCATGCTTGCACAGTTGCTGTGGAATAATCCCTGTGTACACTGAAAATGTGTTGTTCTCGTTGTTAATACAAAGTTGATTGGCTGATAGGTAGGATTTTAGAGGCAGAGAGAATGCTGGGAAGAAGGGCAGAGCCTCAGCAGTCACCCTGAGACAAAGAGCGAGTGGGATGGGAAGTATGTCCATGAGGTAAATGAGTCTCAGGGCAGCACAGAGGTTAATAGAAATGGGTTAATGTAAGCTATAAGAGCTAGCTAATAACAAGCCTGAGCTATCAGCTGAGTATATTAAGTCTTGTGTGGTTATCTCGGAACGGCTGCAGGGGACAGGGAAAACTCCATCTACATACAGTAAGCACTTTACTGACTGAGCCATGTTCTCAACCTTAAATTTAAATGTCTGATTCTTCCCCTGCACCCGCACTGCCTTCACCTCCCAAATGCTGGTATGTACCACCACGGTTTTTATGAGGGGCTGGGGATTGAACCCAGGGCTTCAGGTAACCATTCTACTACATCTCCAGATTCTTCCAGACAGGGTCTTGCTATGTAGCATAGGCTTGCCTCAGACTTGAAATTCTCAGTCTCTTGTACATGAAATTAGATGTGTGTACCATCATGCCTGGCCTTAATAGTATTTATTTATCTATTTGTTGTTTTTGTTTGTTTTCAAGACAGGGTTTCTCTGTGTAGCTATGGCTGTCCTGGAACTCACCATGTAGGATGGCATAGAGCTCACAGACATACCTCTGCCTCTGCATCCTGAGTGCAGAGATTGAAGGAATGTGCCACCACACCCAGACCAACTCTTAATTGTGTGTTTTTTTTCATTAATTATTGTGTGCATAAGTGTGCATGATGTGTTTGTGGGTATGTATGCTATGGCATGTGTGTGGAGGGCAGAAAACAAAATTGTGGGGTTGGTTCTCTCTTCCCACCTTTACATAGGTTCCAGGGATCAAATTCACACAGCATACATACTCTTTATCCTCTGAGCCATCTTGCTGGCCCTCAACAATGTTTTTGTTTGTTTGTTTTTTGAGACAGGTCTCTCACTATGTAGCTCTGACTGACCTGGAGTTCACAGAGATGCAATTGCCTCTGGCTCCTGAGTGCTGGGATTAAGGTATGTACCGCCACATCTGGCCTAATGGTGTATTTCTTAGGCGGACCGTGTTTGGCTAGAACTACCATACCCATGGGTGCTCCCTATATTCACCATTCCTCATGTGTTTTAATGGTTTAGGTATTATATGCTATTTTAAAGGCAAAATCAAAGTATTAGCACATCCAGTGAACTAAATATAGTTATTTACACATGGGAGAGAAAGACAATCTGTGTTAGCTAAAACTGTTAATAGCAATCATCTCTGAGGAATGCAGTACTGAGGCAGCAGGGGACTGAGAAGTTCCTTCTTTTTTTTTTTAACTTCTGAATCATTTTTAAAATAGTTAAAATAAAGCAAAAGCTTTATTTATTTGTTTTATTTATTGGCACAGACTCATGTATCCCAGGATAGTTTCAAACTGTTTCCACCTCCCAAGTGCTGGGGTAACAGGCACAGGTCATCACACCCAGTTTAGGAAGAGAAATCTCCTGGGCCCTCTTCCCAGTACCCCAGCCCTCTGTGTCTCTTACCCCAGAATCTTGGCACAATCATCGTAATATTTCATTGAGTTCTTGACAAAGCTAAAGCCATTGACGTCACACACAAAGGAGTGACCGTTGGCACGAAGAAGGTCAAACCCACAAACTGTTTGCTGCAAAAACAAAAAGGCAAGATGAATCAGAGACAGCTCCCAGGCCCCACCCCTGTTTCTTTCCTTCATCCCACAGCCCCATGAGCCCACTATACCTTAAAAGCTACGCAGACCTTCCTGGCCACCAGCTTTTCCATGGCGGTTAACATGACTGGATAGCGAACCTCTTTGCCCTCACTGTCTCGTTCAACCTTCCCATCCAAAGCTGGAGACTTTCTAGCTTCAGCATGGGCATAATCTGGCCCCACTGTGTACACCTGCAGGTACATAGCATCACTGAGTATGCCCACAGCTCACCCTGTATGTGAGAAGGCAATATGAGCAGTAGGTCTGTAGACTATTTCAGAACAAAAAAAACAAACTCTGCACAGCCAAGGGTGGTGGCACCCGCCTTTAATCCCAGCACTCAGGAGGCAGAGGCAGGACTTCATGAGTTCAATGACAACCTGGTCTAGACAGTAAGTCCCAGGTCAGCCAGAGCTACATAGTAAGACCCTGTCTTAAAACAAAAACAAGACAAACAAAAACCTCTCCAAACATGAAGAATACAAAGACTGGGCTCATGGGATGGCTCAGCAGGTAGACATTGGCTGACAAGTCTGATCTCTGGGACTCATATGGATGAAGGAGAGAAGTGACTCCCCCAAGCTGTCCTCTGACTCCAATGCATGCTATGGTGCACACACACACACACACACACATGCACACACACGCACATGCACACACGCACACAAATAAATGTAAGACAATTTTAAAAAATGACTACAGAGACTGATATTTTTGGTACTGAGCCTTATTTCAGTGATACAAAGGTTTCTCCATAGCATTCTGCACTATTGTCTAGTCCTTATCAAATAATAATTTACCAGTGTTTTAAATTTACTATGGCACCTTGTTCTCGCTCTGATGGTGAAAGTGAGAACATCTACATCTCACTTGTTATCTTCACTTGAATGTGAAAGTCAGTTGAAATCATGTTTTTTCTAAGATCCTATCCACATATACTACCACTTGTTTCCCAAGCACCTCGTTCCTACCCAGATGTTTATAACATTTTAAATCTCTGTATCCACCATAACCTTAACATCTGTGCCATCTGTTGGCATAAACTCCTCATAGATGTATGATCCTGTCTTCCGGACGCTGCTCTCAGGAGAGTAAACACTGCTCCGGCTGCCAATCTTCAGGAGGAAAGGAAAGAGAAACAACATTGCTTCAATCTCCAGGCTTTGTCCTCAAATCACCTCTCCATTCCCAACAACCACACTGCCTTCTACTCGCTGACCTCCCAGATGTCTCCTGTACCTTTCGGAAGAGGCGCTGGCTTCCTCCTCCGGCGGAGCTGGGGTAGTAGATGTAAACGTTGTGGTCCTCTGCACTCACTGGCTTCTCCACAAAGGGCTTGGGAAAGACCGCTCCATTGACCTCCACCTGGTCTTCACCTTCTATCAAGTTGCACTCTGAAAGATGGGTGTGTGATCATTCTTATGGCCTAAGGTTGGAGAGTATTTCCAACTCCTATTTCCCTAGGGTTTTAATCTATACAACCTTTCAAATTTTATGACCATGTCCTATAACAGATATGGCAATTCTCATATATGGCATTTAGATATCATAATATCTATATAAAAGTTCAAAGGCTGTCTAAAGACCCATAACTCTACCTATAATCCAACAGTCAAAGGCCCACACAGATATGTGTAAAGGAGGTGTTTAACGGACAAATATCTGGCTAAATCATGTAAATCAAGGCAGGGAATGACCAGACACAGTCGGTTACTCACCCTCAGGACAGGCGGGGTCACGGTTGAGCACAGCATATCTTGGTAGATCAATGCCCTCCTCCTGCAGGATCCGGTACACCTCCCTCCTGTCACCCCCAAATAAATTAGCCAGGTAGGAAAGGTGGGGATAACAAAGGGATAAAGACAGGAATTTTATTTGCATAGGGAACCATAAATCAATACAATATGGTACAAAAAATGAAGCATGTTTGTTTGACTCTGCCCATCCCAGGATAGGCTTCCTAAAATGGGCATTTCAGGGTCACCCTCCCCTCTGGTCCATAGGAAGCTATACCTATCTTGGATGTAATACTGCATGGCCAGGTCATTGATAAGGAAGGGGTTTCGAAGTTTGGAGTAAGCAACAGCTTTATCCAGAGGAAAGCCTGTGGTGGAGAAAGAAATGGAGAGACCAAAAAAAGTAAAAGAGGCACAGTGTGAGAAACAGCAGGACAGACTGTGACCTGCTAGAGCTAGCACCTGCCATTAATCTCTTCAACACATCTAACCCAGCACTTATCTTCCCAAAACCTCAAGTCCAAGATATTCATCAAGAAAATAAACACAATTGCATGCAGGATCCTCCCAGAGGTCCAACTCTATGGGAGAAGGTAAGTGCCTTTGAGTTGTCTTGTGTGCCTGGAATATGCACCCAGCAAACCCTGAAACAGAGGGCAAACTCCCCTTCACTGTTGCCTTGTGTGTTGAGAAGCTGACATCCTCTTATTAGTGGTATAATAAGAATTCCATCCCCAAACCAGCATCCCCACCGCCATCCTTCCTTCCCAGACCCTAACCTTTGGAGTGGAAAGAAATGAGACAGTGGCAGGAGGGCCAGTTCTCCACAGGTTCATTGAGGATCACGTCTTCTCCCAGGATGACAACTGTCAGGTAGTCAAACCTGCACAGTCGCTCTAGGATTTGGGTCATTGGCTTGGACTTGGATTTCTTGGTCATGGCACAGATGCCAACAATAATTTGAGGTTCTGGAGGCTACAGAGAAAAAGTGGTATCAGGAACTGGAGGTTCCCACATATGTCACTTCCAACACAGTCACATCTTTCTAAGGCAGTTTTTTGCCAGGACTTTGGACCTAAGGGATAAAGGATGCCTACTACAGAAGAAAGCCTGTAGGAAAAGTGCTTCTTCAAAAGAAGCAGTGACCATAAGACAACAGGAGGAGGACTTTTGAGCAGGAGTTTCAGAGAGAGGCAACTGACCAATCTCTATTGCCCCTCCCCTAGTCAGGATAGAGCCTGTTTACAACAGTCTGTGCTTGCAAAGAACAGGGGTGTCTCCATCCAGTGGAATATCAATTCTCTAGGGCAGGGGCCCCAACATGAAACTACATTCCTTTCCCTGGACTTACCACTTCATCCTCCTCATCCTCAAGGAGTTCACTGTCGCTCTCTTCCATCCTCATGCCAATTTCACAGGTGCCCAACCCCTCATCTCCAGCTCCGAGGAAGAAGTGGGCTGTAGTGCTCTCGTCCTCATTGGCCGGCAGTGACCACATCCCCGCCGGAACACCCACTCATCCCGCTCTGCAGAAGTGGGTACCCCATCAGCTTAGAATCCAACACCCTTACAGTGGTTAGGGATGGGGTACTGGGAACTAGACAATGAGAGGGAACTACAAGGGTACAAGAGGAAACAGAAACAAAACTATGGAAAGGACCCATAAGAAAGGAAACTGTACTACAGGTTGACATGACTACAGAGAAGTAAGAACAAAGCAAGGACTCTCTTTCCTCCCTGTTTACCCCACCCCAATCAAGAACTGTAAGAGGATCAGGAGATTAAGTCTTACAGTGCTGGCATATCCCTGATTCTGCCAGCAGGAAACAATGTTAACTCCAGGCAGCAAATAGAAGAGGCTGTTCTTCAAGGAAGGCTACTGTTGATTCCTACCAAGAGAAGGTTAGAGTGACATTTATTCAAACTCTGGATTCATTGCACAGTGTTCCCAGCTCTCTCCACCTCTCCTCGATGGCAGAGGGGTGCTGTAACTCCAGAGGTCTGCCCTTAAACTTGCTCAGGAAACCTTTATCGAGGACACCTCCACTCTAAGCATTGTCTCAGCACAGTAACATCTGTGCTTGCCCTTTTCCCCTCGCCACACCACCTTAAAAGTAGATGTCCAAATCCAGAGAATCAGTTCAAGGAAAGAAGTCTGGAGCTAGTTGTGGGTTGAGACTGTAAACAGTCACACAGCAGTTTTCAACCCATTCTCAAACTGCAGTCACAGTTACCCATCAACTGTCCTCCAGTACTACAAGACCAATGCTGGTCTAAGACAAGGTCCTTTATAGGACAGCTACACTGGAAGAGTCCTAACTAAGGCTATATCGGTAAGAATACCTTATGAATTTAGATCAGAGCAAGCCAGCAGTTCCACTTCTGTGTGCAGATGCCTAGAGTTTTAGTGGAAACTAGTGATTTTGCTGTACCAGAGAGATCTGTCAAGGGGCATTCCTGGTTACTAGAACAGGAAAGGTGTGATAGTGGTTTCTAGTAAGCAGAAGACAGGAATACCACGAGAAATTCTAAAATGTATGTGCTATCTCAAGATCTACCCAGCTCAAACTGTTAGCAGCACCAAGGTGGATAGACAGCTGTGGCAAGACTCTCCTACACACTCAAGGGATATTCTTCCCTTCTCTATGTCATTGTTGCCTAGGGGAAAAACTAAGAACAATCCAGATGCCATAAGGAGAATGGTAAACTATGATGTAATATATATATTATTACATATATCTCCAGACTTTAAAAATGAATGAGGACCAGGAAGATGGATCAGATGAAAGCCCCTGCTGCCAAGCCTAACAATCTTAGTTTGAACCCTAGGCCCTACTTGGCGGAGAGAGAGGACTGACTTCCGTAGGTTGTCCTCTGACCTCCTCCACATGTGTGCTGTGGGCCCATTTACATACAGACTAAACATGTAAGTTATATACAACTGTTTTTTACTACAAACTGCCAAGGCAAGCATGGAGCACTCCCATTTGCATAAATAAACACCACATGCTGTTTATGACTGTGTATGCAGTTAGTACAAGTTTGTTGTTGTCATTAAGTATTTCTTTTATATGTATGTGTGTCCTTCCTGCAGGTAACCCTGTACACATGTGTGCTAGGAACGGAACCCAGGTCCTCTGAAAGAACAACAAGGGATCACCAAGCCATCTTTCCAGGCCCCAGTTAGTAACCCTTTAAAAGTAGGTTGAATCTGGGTATAATGGTGCCCACCTCCAGTACCTGAACTGGGGAGGCAGAAGCAGGGAGATCCTTGTGAGTTCAAGACTGTCCTGGTCTACATTGTGAGTTCCAGGCCAGCTAAGGTTACACAATGAGACCCATCCCTCAAAATAAACAAAATACATACTTTTAAAAACTGAAAAGACACCAAATCTGTAACAGAAATTACGTTTGAAGACAAAAGAGGATGGTGCTAAGAGTTTCCAATGATACCTATACAACCTTGCCTATAAATATATGTCTGTTTTCAAAACTCAAAAAGATCAGAAGGCTAATATTTGCTAATCATAAATTGTAAGGGTATGAACAACTATAGTTATTTTCCAAAAATAAAACGAAGTCACTCAACAGACATTTTCCATGTTCCATAGAAGTTCTCAGAAACATTGCCAACCCTAATGAAGCCAAGAACTCCTTGATAAACTAATTAACTTACTCTTACAGAATTTTAAAGTCTTCAGTAATTCCTCTCTCCATTTTAACTTATAATTCTTCCATTACAACTAGGGTTGCAGCATTGATTAGAAAATTATAGATGACCTTTATATATCATCTGATGCCTCTATTGCTCAACCACAAGACAGAACATTCTTCTGCTCGATGTCTCCAGCTATGCACTACAGTTTGCACAGGAACTCCTCCTGACTGACAGACCATTCCTTTGAATTCCCTTTTAGTGACCTAACTGTGGCATTCCCAAAGATATCTCACAACTTCCCCAGTTAGAATTTCATCACACTCTTTATGCCTTTTCTGAAATAGATTTCCCTGTGTCTAAGATTTCCCTTTCCTGAACTATTCCCTGTTTTTTTTTTTTTATTTTTAAACAACATCCCAGCCATGTTCTTGGAATTCTACTACAGCCCTGTGATGGGAGATAATAGGATGGAGAAGTCTGTTCACAAACATGGACTGAAGGGAGATGAAGGTCCAAATTCATAGTTAACAAAGCAAAAATAGAAGCCTGGCAGGAATAGCTACAACAAAGCCAGGGTTTATTTGAATGTGCTTCTGGGAGAGGCTGGGGTTTTAATGTGGTGTTCCCAAAACCACTTCGTAGTTTTCTGTGCTCTTTCCCCGTCATCTTCTCCCCAAACTTTGTTGCATAAGAAAACGGCAGATTCTACTCTGGGCTAAAGGGCAGTCTTACCATGGAAGGAAGAGAGGGAAGGGGTCAGAGGAAACAAGGAGGCAATCTTGGGAGCACCTATGCTAAATTAAATCTGTAACTTCTTTAACTCCTAGAGTTGAGGGCAGTTTACATGGACCTCTGATTTCTTGACATCACCTTGCATTTGATAGAGGCTCCAACAGTAGTAAAGGAAATCAACAAGGAAACTCCTCACACCACCACCAATATTGGATTTTCCCACCTTCGAAAGTGAGCCCTCTCTATTCCCTCCCCCCGAAAGCCCCCCTATTCGTTTGAGGCAACGTCTCCTGTAGCTCAGACTGGCCTTAAACTCATGGAACTCCTGAGTCTCTCAAGTGTTGGGATTACAGGCGTGGGCCACTCTGCCTGCTTCCCACTTCCTTCCTAAAGCAAGTTTAATGTTTCTGACATATTCCTTATTCTGACACTAGTCAACCATCTGCTGCCCGTTCTCAGTGTCAGCTAACTCATCCTGCCTTCTCTCCGACTTCTGATAAAGGCTCTTCACTGATTTCCCTAGCCTTACTCCCACACTGACTGCCGCATCCCAGTCCCAACCACGGGTCAATTAATGCAACCAATCCAGGCAATTTTCCCACTCAGTAACTCCCAGAAGTAAACAACACTTCAAACCTGCACATGAGTCATTACACTTGCTAACACTTTTTTTTTCTTTTCAGACAGACTCTATGTAGCCCAGGATAGACTTGAACTCAGCTTCCGCCTGCCTCAGTCTCCAGGGTACACTGATTAGCATCTTTCCGTTAATGATGAGCATTTAATGATCCCCCTACAGGATCCCCCTTAACAAAAGCGTCCTTGCTCACACCTAGCCCTCTCCACAGAAACGCATTCCTCAGCAGACCCTGTCCCCCGGTCAGCGAGTCCCTTCCTTCACTCCGCCAGCATCCAGTGCCGGCTGGTCCTCCCTTCCCTAGGCTTCTCGCGCACGACCCTCTACCTCGGTCCCCTCCCCTGCAACCCAGCTCCGCCCCTCCTCCCAGCCCTGTCCCTGAAAGCCTTCCACCTCCCGGGGTCCCCTAATTCTTCCCGCAAACCCCTCCACACCAGTCTCTTCTCCCACTGACCCGCTCGGCCGTCCTCTCTCTCTCGGCGTCAGGTCACGAATCCCGCCCTCCCATCCTGACTGCACTCGCCTCTGCCCGCCCCCTCCGTCCCCGCCTCGCTCTCCCTACGCTGACATTGAGGCCTCCCGGCTGCACCTCCCTCCTAAGCTGTTCCCACCCGGGACTACCCACGGCCCCGGGCGCAAGCTGAGCCCCTCGCCGAGCCCACCCTCCCCGATACCGCCCCCAGCCCCAGCCACTCCCCCACCGCCCTCGGCCCGCACTCACCCGCCTCCCTCCGCTCGCGCAGCCGAACCTGCAGGCAGCGACACCTGACAGCGGCCCAATCAAAGCGCGACTTCTTTGCGGTCCCGCCAATCCGCAGAGGGCGCGCACCGGCAGCAGTCAGGCTGCGTTGGCCGGAGCTTCAGGGTGGAGGAGGGTGGCTCCTAGTGGCTGCCTACGGAAATGCAACCTGATGCTCCTCTGCCTCTTGATTTCCTACTGCGTCGCCAGTCCCCATCCTAGACCGCGAGGCTAAACCAGTGAGACCAATGGAAAGAAGACATGAGATAAACGAAGGCGCAAAGTTTGTGACATTGCAGCTCCCTGAGGGCAAAACCGAGTTGTTGTTGGTTTGTTTTGTTTTTTTTTTTCCTGTAAAGCAAATCCAGGACGGATATAGATAGACATTGGGCGAGAAGGTGGAAAGAGAGGAGGTAGGACGCTGGAGACAAACAGAAGCAGATGGGGAAAGTTAATGGGAGGAAAAAAGAGACTGATTTGTGAAAGAGAAGAAAACGGTGGACATGGAAAACTGAGCAAACTGATGTCTGTTTCCACACTCTGCTTCTTCTCTGTTCTCCAGTCCTGGAATCTGAAAAGCCGGGCACGCACCCTGCTCTTAACTGTGTAGCTTTGGGGAAGTTACTTTAACTTCCTGGAGCCTCCATCGTGTTTATTTGTAAGGATGAAACCAAACACCTAATTTGCACAGTGCTGCTACTTGGGAAAAGCAATCTATGGGGAAAGAGATTTATTTTGGCTCAGGGTTTCAGAAATTTTGCTCCTTAGTTCCGTGGTTTTGGCCATGAGGAGAGGCAGAACATAACTGTGGCTGGGTGAAGATGTTTGCTTGTTGGCTAGTAGAAAGCAGAGGCAGGAAGGGGCAGAGGACAAGATGCCTTGTCTGAGGAGACCACAGACACATACTCTCTCCAGCTAGGCCCTACATCCTCCCTTTCACCATGTTCCAATAATGTCATCAGTATGAATCCATCAAGGGGTAAATCCATTGATTAGATCAGAGCCTTCAGAATCCAATCACTTCACAAAAGTCCATCCACTGGTAATCAACCTCCAGTCCATGAGCCTGTAAAGGACATGTCTTATCTAAACAGAACAGATATGCTCATATGAAAGCATTTTCTCGTGTGTATATTATTGTTGTCCTTGAATCTTCATTTATGCTTCCCTGGTCAAGAGTTTGAAATTCCCCATTTGTTCTCTGTAATTTTGGGGACCTTACAATTTTCCTAGTTAGGTGCCTTAGTTTACTGATGAACACACCCTACCCCCACTCCCCCATCCCATCCCACCCCACCCCAAGCAGGCCTCCTGAATGGATAGAGATGATTCTAAGAACATGGTCTACAAATAAACGATGATAGTTAATGCTCAGACTCATACCTCCTCTACAACTCCAACCAGTAGAGCAAGTATTTACAGCATTTCCCAAGTGTAAAACTTCTCCAATGATTCCATGGAAAATAGACTCTGATCCTGGTCATGTGAAATAATACACACATAATGGTTCCTTGTAATTGTAGATTTTGTTTTGTTTTGTTTTGAGACGAGGTTTCACTATGTAGCCCTGGCTAATCTGGAACTCACTCTGTAAAGCAGGCTGGCCTTGAACTCACAGAGATTCACCTGCCTCTGAGTGCTAGGATTAAAGGCATGTGCCACCACTGCCCAGCAGATTCCTTGTAACTGTAAAGTGCTTTAAAGCATTAAATATTAGCAACAATATTAACAAATAAACTACTATATATATATATAACTTCCCATATGCAAGGGAATAATTTTTTTGCATGTGTGTGGATGTTTTACCTGCATGTTTGTGCACCATGTGTGTACCTGGTGCCTGAAGACCAGAAGAGAGCATCAGATCCCCTGGAACTGAAGTTACAGACAGTTGCCAGCCACAATGTGGGTGCCAGGACTTGGACCCAAGTCCTCTGAGCCATCTCTCCAGTCCCATAAGGTAATTTTTTAAATGACTAACAATATATCGCATGCCTGTCAGAGGCTCACAAAGAATAAGAAAAGTACACAAATATGTGACTCTTCTCAACATATCATTATTTCATGAAGGAAGGCATTTTCCAAACTTGAATAACTTCTCTACTCTAACTGTCTTTATTCTCCTTTTGCTACTCTCCATTCCCACCCTTGTCTCCTGAACACCTTCTCAGCCAAATAACAGCCCCGTTGCTCCAGCAGATTATCTCCTTCTTTTATCTGAGTAAATATATGCCATCCCAGGTAATTACATTTACTTATTTACTTACTCATACCTACCTCTTCACCTAGATAATGAACACCCACAGCTAGGTAACATTTTTTTTTTTGGTCTCTCTGAAAGTGAACAAGCTCCAACAGTGGATTCCAACCTATTCTCTGAGAATTGTATTTTATCAAGAGAAGGGGTTTAAGTAATGGACCCAAAAAAGAAATGTATAGCTTCTAAGGATACCCACAAACAAGGATGGTCAAAAAGTAGACGGGTTGGGGGGTGTTTATTAGTGGAGCCAGTGGGGATTGTGAAGGGTAATTCTTTTTTCCAAGTACTCTTAAGATTTCCAAATAGCTTACTGTGATCAGGAAGCTTGAGAAAGATACGCTAATGCCGATATGTCTGCTCTGCCCGGGCAGGGCCCTATCTCAACCCCAGCTTTCATTCCCTGCCTGCTATAATAAAAGTCAACTTGCACCTAGTCCCACTTGTAGCTGTGGAGACAAATCCGCTTGAGTCTGAACGTGCACTTCACAAGAGAGAGAGAAGTCAGGGATTCCTTGATGACCTTATGCCCTTGGACACCACCAGCCTTCACACTCCAGATTAAACTGTGTTAGAGAGCCAAGAGAGGAAACACTGTGGTTAAGGAGACCTGTGCCTGCCTGTTCCAATCCACACCCAGTCATCTCACCACACCCTCCTCCCCTCTTTATATTCCCCTCCATTCCAGGAACCGCCAGCTGCAGAGGAGGGAGAGAGGAAGAAGAAACTCACCATTCCCTGCCCAACCCCAGCCCCACGCCCAGAGCAATCAACAGGTAGGCAAGCTTCAGACACTACTCAGGAGCCCCGTGAACAGCAGACAGGTTTGAGCCTGGAATGGAGGAAGAAAAATAAAAGATTAAAGGTGAAGTAGGTGATAGAGTAGTGGAAGACAAAAAAAAAAAAAAAAAAAAAAAAAAGATAGGGCCCCATAAGAAATGGAGGCAGGAAATAGTCAAGCTGAAGGCTTGGGGGGCAGTGTGTGTGGGAGACAGCACAGATGGAATAAGAGCTAATAGTTTTCCGACTCTTCTCAAGTAATCCTTTCTCAACCTTGTTAGGGAAGTATAGGTGTAGTAGGGAGTTCCCTAGTTCTCTTCCTGGTTCTTAGGAAAAGGTGACCTTGAGGCAGGCAGCCGGTGTCTGTTCCCCTGTGCTTTCTCAGCCATTCTCTGTATCTGTTTATTCTGTGGTTTTCCTGTGGCTGCCTCTCCTGGGAAAAATGGAGAGATTGCGTGCAGATCGAATTCAGAGAAGAGGCTGGGCAATGTCACCCCCTCCCCCCAATACCCACAATAGAGGATTGGGTTTCAGATTAAACAGAGGGGGCATGGGAGAAGGGGGTTTCAGGCTCGGGAATCCCCGTGGTGCTGTTCTCTACTTGGTGCTGAAATCTGACTACCCTCATTCTTGGTGGGCTTACGTCCCCCTTAGCGAGTGAGCCTCTGGCCTTCCTAATTACCTGGCTGGTGCTACCCAATCCCACCCCCGCACACCTAGCGCGGTGGCAGGCGGGAAGGCGGAGCCCGAGTGAGCCCCACCCCTGGAGACTGCGGCTGGGGCCTCCCTCTGCTCTAGCTGGCCGCTAAGCAGCGCCTCCCCTGCAGCCTGATTGGCACCGACTGCCACTTCAGCTTCAGCCTTCATCGTGACCCCTATTTTGGCTTCAGCCTCGGACCCAGCTCCGGCCCTTTTTCTACCCGGTTGCATCCTCCCTCCTAGTTCCTGACTTGCTCCAAAATCCTGCTGCGAATCCAGTATCCCCAAGCCATGGCTGGTCCCTTCTCCCGTCTGCTGTCCTCCCGCCCCGGACTCAGGCTCCTGGCTTTGGCTGGAGCTGGGTCTCTAGCTGCTGGGATTCTGCTGCGTCCAGATTCTGTACGAGCCGCCAGTGAACGGAGGAGATTGTATCCCCCAAGGTATCAGTGCCTGAGACGCACGAGGTGGGGGCTGGGGGTGGTGGTGGTGATGGGAACTAAAGGGGTAGGAAGGATGACTTGAGCAATAGACAGCCCCCCCCCGCGAGGATGGATTTCTGTACAGTCTGGAGATCCCAGACATAAAGGAGAAGTAGGGCCAAATCCGTAAGGCAAGAACATGTCTAAAGACCTGTCACCTGATGTCCCTGCCTCCAAGCTTTTGCCTGCGAAGTCTAGGTTCACCCACTACCCAAATCCCTTATAGGATGAGTTGAAAACTACCTTTTCTCCATTCTGACCTATTCTCCTTGTTCTCTTAATTCTCCCGAGCCCTTCCCCTCCCCCCACCTCTAATGTTGTGCTTACCAGAGAAAAGGAACTGTGTAGATCTGGGGGAATTGAGGCAGCCACAGACAGCTAGAACTATTAGGGAAGAAAAAAAGACCCTGGAAATCCCTAAAGAGATTATCGAGATTTAGACTACCTCTAATTCCCCCTCCTTTAAGGAGCAAAACCAGACATAGCTCACTGGACAGCTCCCAGCTGACATCAGTAGGTCTAGTCTCCTGTGCCCTCCCTCCATGGTTACTGGGTACCCCCTTCCCAGCGCTGAGTACCCAGACCTCCGAAAGCACAACAACTGCATGGCCAGTCACCTGACCCCAGCAGTCTATGCACGGCTCTGCGACAAGACCACACCCACTGGTTGGACACTAGATCAGTGCATCCAGACTGGCGTGGACAACCCTGGCCACCCCTTCATCAAGACTGTGGGCATGGTGGCTGGAGATGAGGAGACCTACGAGGTAGGGGGCCCCTCAGTCTCCCTGGTGACCCAAGTCACCTTCCCAGAAACCCCAGTTCCTTCCCCCTAAAGATCCCTCATGTTTGTTCCCTCAAGACTCTGGATTATCTATACTCAAATTTTTTGACCCAGTAAA